ATATATATATATATATATATATATATATATATATATATATATATATATATATATATATATATATATATATATATATATATATATATATATATATATATATATATATATATATGTATATAGTTACAGGTTATTATCGTTTGGAGCTTCTGCGCACAACGTTTTGTCAACTAACGATGTGACCATCTTACAAAATGTTGACGCTCTCGTTTTCACTAAATTCCTGGCCTCTTTTACTGCACTGATTGTAGAAGACGTAATACGATACGAACTCAATCGGGCGCCAGGTAAGTGAGTTGGATCTGTAATTTAACAAGAAGCTATGTAAGATGACCAGCAGTGCAACAAAGTCCTTAAATTACTAAAATTGGTGTGGAAAATATCGAGAAACTGAAATTGACTGGTTCAGTTTGGGAACGAACTGACCTACAAATATCTACTTTATTGAATTTGTTCCAAGATTTTGAGTCTTGGTATACATTAGACAACTTTTATTGATCATCTTTATTGGTATAACATTTTGGATTGATCATGGTTTGTCTTTACAATGTTTTATAGATGAAATTATTGACGAAAATCCTACAAGTGATTTTCTCTCTGATCCTTCGGAAGAGATGTTGAGTTTTTTGAAGACGGATGTGACATGCGCGTTGCTCTGGATTCATTATATTTTGGATGTTCTTCCAAGCAAACGTCGTGTTTCTGATTTACCAGGCATTATGCGTTATTTGAAAGCATTACCACGTTTGAAATATAAGGTGCGAAGTTGTGAGCGAAATAGTTTTGATACCACTTAAGAAGTGTGTTCGAAATTTCCAATAGTTGGTTCTAGGTTGCCTATTGTGACCCATGGATACATCTGGTAATTCACCGACTGTTACAGTCGGCACCGTTTGATCATCTTTTATCAACTGAGCAAGCATCACATTTCATCATAGAAGAATATCTGTTGAAGGGATTGGATGTAAGCCATTTTTGCATGAATTGATAGTTAAGCACAAATTAACACTTGGTTCAATATATCGATATTCTGATTTTAGTATTTGGAAGAATTTCTTCTAAATATCTTCCGCATAATGATTTAACTACTTTTTGAGTCAAGTTTTATGGAATAGCAGCTTTGTTTTACAAAGTAAACCAGTATCAATTTTACAGCGCTACTCCGGTGTGAAATACCATCTTCTTCGTATTGTGCATCTGTTATGGTCTTCTATTGGCGAGTTTCGTTGCCGTCTTATCCTAGATAAAATTGCACCAGAGGTAGGATATAATAAGGACATTTTATTTCGTACATGAAATTGTTGTTTTCATTATTTTCTTTGCACAAATCGCTTTGTTTGCGTGCTAATTTTTATAATCTTGTTGCAAACCCTTTTATTTTTTTGTTTCATTATCCCTCTTTATAACTGCATCAGTTCTTTTAAATTTTTCAACAAAATTGCTGTATTCTATAATTCTTGCTGTATTTTATAATTCTGCAATTTTTGCAGAAAATATTCGAACTATGTGGTCGTGAAGTCGAGATTGATTTAAAACGATACACTCGGGAATACCAACGTATACGAACAAAAATGACGGAAAAAAACTCGTCTGCGGATGGATCTTTATCGAGTACCTCGGTTACTACTGTGCAGTCTCTTTCAGACAGTACATACACGAATAAGTGAATGTATTTGATTTTCATTGTTTGTAACATGTAGTTCTAATTCTTTTTTTTTGTACATACTGTTTCAATTTCATTTCTATGTTTCGTAATTTTCATGATATACTCTTGAAATCATCTCTTGGTAGATGAAGTTTGTACATACATTTTGCTTCGATCTTCTTTGTAGTGAATCAGAAACTTTAATGCCGAGGCCATGTGAAGACTTAGTGCCGTGTGCTGCGTGGTACCAGGATGGTTTTGGCGAGCATCTGCCTTTTATAATAGGTTCACCAGGTCAAAGAGCACGCATACCGGTTCCATTCATGGGTTATTTGAGCCAGCAAACTTACGGCATTGTATGAAACGGCTCGAAACTTTCCGAACATATGCTATATTTTATCTTAGTAATGTTATTTTTCTTTTTCGTGTTTTCCCCCACAGATTCACTTTTGTCCTTTTGTCTTATTATGTGTGAATTCGAATAAGAAGACATGTAATATTGACATTTTACGTGAAATATTGGCATTTTCTGCTCATTCTTCCTCTGTATAGCAACTGGATATTGTTAAATTTTTGCTTATTGATCTATTCCAGTTTTTCGTTTTTTCTTTTTCTTTCTGCCGAATTTGACGACGGGTTTACTTTATTTCCATTGCATCGAAATGATTTTGCAGTTAACTGGGCAAAATGGAATGTAAAATTTAGTAACTATATCTCCAGTAACTGTAACTATCTCGTTTACTGTATTCTGAAGTGAAAGCGTTATTCAAAATGATTACAATATGATATAAAGATAAGTGCTTTCTCATCATCCTATTATTCGTTCGTTTAACCGACGGAAATTTTCACGTAACACTGTCAAGGTGAGCTATGTGATGAAAAATTTATGCACTTTGCGAATCCATCGGTATTAAGCATAGTCATAATTCATCCCTATCTCAAATCTATCAAGGGAGTGCTAGGACTTATCTGAATATGAATGACACCATATGAAGTGAAACTGTCCTCTGGGTCAAGTGAGGTGGGCTGCATGTAGTTCCGTATTAATTTCGATTGTTTTCATTGCATGGGCCGTATTAAACCAATACCAATGGTGAGTCAGTCTCGTATTGTGCTGTTGTGGTTTCACTTTTGGGGTGCTGGGATTGAAGTCTTATTAAGATTTTTGAGATGACTGATCGCAGCATGTCTTTCAGCTTCAGGTGGAATGCAAGAGCAGGTTAATAACGCAATGGAAAGTGCTAAAGAAGCCGCAGCATCGGTCACTGAACGTGTTAGCGATTTCTTTCAGGGCAGTCCGTTTGCTACGCCAGTCGGACGCAAAATCGGTGACATTATCGTGATATTTGCAGCTTTACATATTATACATGGAAATTGGATGACGCAATATGATGCTGTTCGAAGAAGTATAGATAAGTATGAAAGAGCAAAAGAACCATCTCGTCAAACGGAACTGTTTGCATTAATTTTTGTGCATCTTTTGCTGCTTGCTGTGAGGAATTGTTGGCGTTGATTTCCGTATTTTTTTTTTTTTTATTTCGTTCTGTAATGTCTGTTTTAAGAAGACATTTGTTGTAGAAATGGCAACTGATGCAACTGTTCTGGCAACTGAAAACTGGGGATTAAATATGGAAATCTGTGACTTTATCAACAACACAGCAGAAGGGTTTGTGCTGTCTCTCTTCTTCCGCCCATCTACGCATAATTTTGATGGTCAGTAGAGATAGAAGATTTAATGTTTCAACTCATGCAAGATTTAGAATTCAGTAGGCCATTTAAAGAATTGTTGCAGAGGACGTGATGCAATGCGCGCAATACGCAAACGGCTTCATTCACAGATATCGAGAAATAACGCTACTGTTATGTACACACTAACGGTGTTAGAAACATGTGTAAAGAACTGTGATATTCGATTTCACGAATTAGTTTGTCAGAAAGACTTCATAAACGAACTTGTCAAACTTCTCGGTCCGAAGTTTGATGCGCCCCAAGTAATACAAGAGCGTGTTCTCGGCTTGATTCAGGTTATTTATTCAACTGTTATGGTTTGCGTTCGCTATCCGATTCGTGCAAGATTCATTACTTGATTGTGCCTGCTGTTTCAAATGCTTTATCTTACTTTTCGTGGGGGAAGTTTTCAAATGATTTTTCAATAATTCACAGTAGTAAATATAAAAGTAAAGTCTGTCACGTCTTTTTTTTGTCTTATGGTGATAAACGTTAACGAGAAAATGTTCGGAATCATATTTTTGAAAGTCTCGACTGGAAAAAATTCCAGTCTTGGAATGATGTGTTTCAAGATGATCCACGTTTGCAAGGTGTCTGTCAAATTTACAATGAACTGAAAGCGAAAGGTGTTCAATTCCCGGTTACAGATCCTGGTTCGATGGCACCAATATTAACACCAAAAAGAGTAGGTTCATTATAATTTCTCATAGCTGTGCTGAGGATATTCTCTTGGAAGAGTGTTTGCAGTTTTTTCTTTCATCGGTTAAAAATTATTCCTTACGATGCATGCTCTTTTTTTTTCCTATACACTGCGTGTTGATCTGTAATTATTATTAATGCATTTGGACAATCACTCGGTGGGACAAATTTCGTTAATTAATGTCGAATACTTAGATGTGAAGTTTGTTGTCCTTTATACAAAAACTTTTTTCTTTCCTTGTTTTGTTTGTGCAATTTTTCATGTACAACTTCATTTTAGACTGTTTTTACGGTCGGAAAAACTCCGGTGGCTACCAGCGTTCAGGAAGATGCCACGGGGCAGGGCATGTTGGTATGTAAAAGTTCTTCCTTAAATTAGTTTTTAAGGTTAATGCTGCGGTATGCAAGATCACTCGATCACATGGTCGTTCGAATTTCTAATAAAACGTAGGTACAGTCTCACGGTAGCGAAACAAGAAGTCTGTTTCGGATCTTCTATCATTATATTCAACCCTTCATGTTCTCCTAGCATTCCAAAATGAAAAATTTGTCATTTTTGGCCATTTAGTCATTTTGATGTTGTGGAAGATAGATTGATGTGTATGGTGAGCAGTGTACCAATATAGAGGTTTATTTGTAGTGAATAGATAATAACAGTGCAGCTACAAATTTAGATGTAATTCAAACAATTGAATTATATAGTAGCAGTGACGATTAGCTGACTGATGGGATCGGAAGGTGTCGCTGTACATAGGTCTTACATAGGTCTCCCGGGTTTAGAGCTTATATGAGGGAAATTTGTTTAGAATAGTCCATGAGGTTGGACCGATTGACTCCAAGATAACCTGTACAACATTTGAGTAACACATATAAAATCATTAAAGTAATAAATAGCGGCATGTATACAAAGAGCAGCCTATAAGATTAAAGAAAGTATAATGTTACAGTACTATACAACGGCATACCTGAGACTTACAATATTGGGACAAGGCATAAACAACAGCATGGTTGACCTTTACAGGATTCAAAAGTCGATTGTATTTGAAGTATTAAAAATTTCTCGGTTTTCCGACTGTGTATGCAAAACGTGGCATTATTATATGATATACAAAACCCGCCGACTTTCAGCAAGGAAAGCAATACGTGTAAAGTATTCATATTCCGTGATCTTATCTAGACTTGCTGCATTAACAGAAAAGGACATACTCAGCATTTTAATGTGTTGCTCAGTTATATCAATCTTCTGTTTAATGAATTGTCATTCTTAGCATAGTGGCTGAAAGAAGTTCGTCATACTTTTCGATCAGGAAACAATAGTTCCTTAAAGTTCTCGTCATTCAAAAGTCATGATGTTTGAGACTAACATATGCTATACAAAACCCGTAGCTTTTAACCGAGAAGTTACCTTTACCAAGATAAACGCTATTTTCATCTATATTTTTTTTTTTAATATGTCAACACTATTACTGTCAACCACACATATCAAGATTCAATTTTTTTCTATTTTACGTTTATAAAATGTCATTTACTTTACAAGGATTTATACGATGAATGCATGCATTATTACCAGTCTGTAAATGCATAAATCAGCCATTAATTTATATCACTTTCCAGCTTCTCTGTTCGACAACATTTAGGTGAATTTTCACTGCTTCAAACTATTAGAGCAGGACTGTCTCGGTTGTACTTCATAGATATAGTTAATCATTGTGCTATGCTTCCTACAAATCACTTTTCACGACAGATTCTTTTAATTGCTTAAACATCTTTGTTTTATCCAGCTCTAGTTCATATGTAGTATCGAAAAGTTTACTGAAGTATCGTTGGTGTGCAGTCGTTAATAACTTTAACCACTCCTCTATAATCTAATTGGAAGTTTTTATGGGACCTAATTAGCATCAGCAGCCAACTTTGCGTAATACATTTTTTCCTGTAGAACCGCAGCCAACAGGACATGATGAATAGATTTTATATATATTGGAAAGCAGAGGTTCTCTGAGTTGTGACGAATTTTAATGGGAAAATTAACTGGAACTGGTCGCAGGTTTTTTCCTTTTTTTTTAAGTTCGTGAGAAAACTTTCTGTAGCCGTATTTTCATAATTTTTTAAAGAATTTTGTCGGTATTTTTCAGAATCCCGGATCAGATAACATCGCTGGTTCATCGCAGTTTGTGCAACCCACACCAGAGCAGCAGGAGAAATTACACGAAGATCTCGATGTAGTAAACGGCAATTTGAAGGTAGCATATGCAGAAGTTTGCGCACCTTAAAGTCTAAGAAATTTGGAACTCATGGAAATTAAGAACTTGAAATTCCCATAAGTTTTATAAAATTCAGTCAGGTCCAAAATCGTCATTTCTAAAGTGTCTCTGTAAGATTGGTTTGTATGTTTAATTTCCACCTCCCTTGGGTTCACAAGATGCATTTTGAATGGTTTTACTTCTTGCGATCTTTGATGGAAGTTCTGGTGCTGAGCACTTTATAAATTTTATTCAAGGTTATGCGGGAACTGTTATCTGAGATGATTCTGGGGAAAGAGACTCCGGATGACTTGCAGCTATTAGATGAATTGCATGTTGTCGTAAAGCAGATGCATGTGAGAATTCAGGACCTTATTCGTTCCGTTCAAAATGATGAAATCATGTGTAAGTTGCTCTTCAAACTAATGCAGGTTATCCTATCGCTGGAAAACGGAAGCTGTATTCCGCTGATTGTAATGTACTGAGAAATGAAAAATGAATTTCACAAATCTCCATCTTTACATTCTGTCATTGTTTATAGATGACGTATTTATCCATAGCCATGACTGCAAAGAGAAGGCTAACGTATGTTTTCAGAGCCTAAGTAAACTGAAGTGTGCTTTGAATTTTAGACAAATTATATTGATTAGTGCGTGGTAGTTTGAAAGTGATATCTTGAATGAGCGTTAAATATGTTTATCATAGTTATACTTTATATCATAGTAAGACAGTTCACTGGGATTCAGAATTCTTAACTTTTGAAGTAGGGAAGCGAACAGCTCCCGCTGAAGTGGTGCTGATGCTAACAGTAAGACTGAATTATGAGTAGGTAATTCTTGGGTAAAAGTTTCAGATGAACTGCTGATGGTAAATGATGAGTGCAACAATCTTTTTGAAAAATATAATTACTACATGGTTAATCGTGCATGTGGCACGAAAGAAAATGTGGCTTCGGAGAACAACTTGATTGAACTTGACGACCAGACACTAAATCAGCAGCTTGGTGCATTAAAAACTTCTGATGCTTCTAATTTTACCAAGTAAGTTGAGTGCTAAGCAAATTTTTGTTGCTTCATTATCTTCGGAATTCGATGAAGATATTTATGGTGGTATGCAAGTTGGATGACTGAATAGTATTGGAGCACGATGCGAAATGTTACCAAAAGCTCCATGTATCCATCATGTATTCATAGAAGACAATCATGCATGGTGGCAGTTTAGATGTACTTGATCCCGATCATAACTGTGCATTTGACATTCTGGTACTGTGAGTTGATTTCTAGAAGGTCTATACATATTCACAACGCATGGTATTGCTTCACCTCGGGATACGCTTAATGTGGTGACCCTGTAACATAAATTTCTAATTTTAAGTAGCTGGCGTTGTTGCACAAGCAACTTAGCCTTCCGAAGTATGATTTTAGAACAAGGAGATAGTTTACAGTAATTTGAGGAAATATAAATTATTGCTGTGAGTCGTTCCAAAATGTTTTGAAGAGTGGAAGCTTCCGGTGTACGGAAGCAAACTGATACCAGTCAACCGAGAGTGATAACAAATGAAGATACCCCAGTTAGTGAAAGAGAAGCAACCGAAATGGCAAAATGGTTAGAAGCCCAGGAAGGAAAGAAAGATACTGCCGTCGCTTCTCCTGCAACGATCCCAAGTGGTATGTTCTTCCATAGTTCCATATATGTGAGTTCCATATCCCGCGATATTGTTTCGACTATGCGTTTATTAGATTTACTGATCCTAGTAATCTCTGCTCCTGGTGGAATAACTTTCCTGCGTAATTTCTGCTGTTCAACTTCAACTTAAATTGTTTTTACTTTTAATGCGCAGGCTTTTAGGGCCCTCTAAAGAGTGTAAAACGCTTCTGCACGACCAGTCAACACTGGAAGACAAAGCGAAAATGACACCCTAACTCTTCTAACATAAATACATATATTTTTGCTAAAGAAGAGCTGTGAGTAAAATGTAAATGTAGTTCCATATCCCGTGATATTCTTCGATTTATTTTCGGCATGTCTTATTGTAATTGATTCATTCTTATAATGTGAAAAGCGAGGTATTGTCTTGTGTGGTGAATTGGTCGTAATGGAACTTATTTCACTATTTTTTCTGAAAAAAAAGTGCATGAAAAAATTTCGATTTAATTAGAAATCTTTTCTTGTGGACAATGTTTCTGATAGGAGTGAACAGCAGTGGTATTGAACATGTCCGTCATGCAGTTGTCCACAATCTAGAATATCCATTACATTCTGGTAGACACCACCGACACAGTCGTCCAAGGCTCTTCTAGGAAGCTCATCAGATTCTGTTCGATTCGCACAATTACTAGACTTCAATTTTGAATTTCTAGCCGTTTCGTCAGGTTGTACATACTCTTCAGATCTCATGAGTCAGTATAGGTATCGGATCGAGTTCCGTAAGGTGTAAAAATACAAATAAGTTCTATTCACAGAAGCATATTTATTCCAGAGACAAGTAACAAATAGATTTTATGAAGTCTGAAATCGAAACCCAATGTGATAAAGGTGGTACGGTTTGGAAACATACTCGTATTTGGAGATCAACTCTTCAAGCACCTTCGATGAAATACCTGGCTTGAATTTGGGTAGCATGCAGCGTCTTCGTTACTGATTGGTGCTCCGCATGCAGTACATGTTGTTTTTTCATCAATTTGAATATGTAGCTGAGCAGCTTTCAGCGCTTCTTTTGAGAGTGCTTTTAGCGCCTGTGCCGTAGCCGGAAAAATGTCACTTTTGTGAGTTTGAAGTTTCCGTTGGACTTGATTCAATAGATGGAAAGATTTGAATGGACATTGTTCTGTGCCAAATTGTCGATAAATACCTTTTTCTTCAGTTGCTGACAGTGAGATCGGTCTTTTGTTGATAATACGGTACCTTCTGCGAAACAAAGAATTGACGATAATGACCATTCCTTCGGGATATTTTGCATTATTTCAGTTCCATTTGAGGTGAAACTGGGTGTGTTCAGTAAATTGGTTATACGTGATCCAAATTCCGGCTGAGACCTATATACACATTATATATACACATTAATATATATATATATTAATATATATATATATATATATATATATATAGAGCAGAGAAACTCTGAGTTGATTGACAACTTTTAAAATTTTAAAGAAAAGCGAGTTCACTTAAGAATAAAGTAAGAGCAGGTTGATATAACACTATCAAATAAAGCTAAACAGGAACTAAAGCTTACGCGACATTTCGTAGATAGAACTTCAGAAGTGTCAATCTCAAAACGTGCTCCGATGTATCTGTGTAAATACAGAATAATTCGGCTGCATCGTAATCTTTGTGGTCATTGAGTAATTTTTCCAGGCATTCAATAGAACCTTTGTCCTAACGATTGTTTAAGAAATTAGGAATTTTCCATTATATCTACAGTCAACCAAAAATTTGGAAAATCATGTTTGAATGTGTCATTCATTTTTTCTGTTTTATCTGTACAATGAGGAAAAAAAAAACCACTTCCTTGGGATACATGCAAGAAAAGTGGGTTTACCACTTCATATGATATTATCTTTCTTAAGTCAATACCGCTTGTGACTAAAGCAGTTTTAAATCATAAAGCTACCTTAACACCCTCAAGCAGGGTTAGTTCGACAGCAAAGTGCGGATAACTTTTAAGAACCGCGCACGTGTCCAATAAATTTAGCTTATTTGGCTGAAGAAGGAAGGTACGTAGCTTTCTCCTGCATGATTTTTCGCTTTCTCCACCTTCGCCCAATAACGCGTTGATTTCGTCTACGTACATTGAAAATAACATTGAATGGAATTCGATATTCTGAAAAAATAAAGGATTTCAATGCATCGTCACGATAATATGAACCCTTTACTTCTGTCTCTAACCTACTTGATCAATAACTTCTCAGCGGAATACGGTCCTCTATATACAAAACAAAATGTCCAGTAACCTAGAACGTTTGTAAACAACGCACGGCGTAAAAAAGTGAATTTGGAACTATAATCCGAACTTCGAGTCATTTATCACCAGATCGATATCACTGGTGACCATTTATAAAAATATTGATGTGGTGAAATATTCGAAGTTATAAGAATACTCAACAGAGGATGAAACCAAACAATGTGAAGTCGGAACTGTATTTTTAAATATTAAAGGTAGGTACTTGGAGGGATGTAATTCCTTCAAGATATTTGATAAGCGTGTTCCGCTTTCGTTGCAAGATTCGTACAATTTTCCTGTGGTCTAATTTGACCGGACATCTTCTCAGACCGTCGATTACATCATCCTGGCGAACTTCGAGCAAAAATTCAACCCAACCTAATATCGTTCGTTCTGAATTAAATCTGCAAATTTGGTGAGAATCTCTTTCACTTCAAGACATTGAGAAAATGTACAAGAGCGTTGGAAATATTTGGAAGCCCATGGAGGCTGGTATTATCAGAATCCACCTAGGAATTTGCTTCAAAGCCATGTACTTTTAGTCAGAGATCTGTCTAACATACGATGCTAACCAATTACCTTGGAAAGAACTGCAGACACAATTTGGCAATTCCATCATCCCAAAGATTCTCATTATATAATTCTTGACTTATTGCAAGTGCGTTATCAAAATCTAAGAGGCAAAATGCAATGGTAATAAGGAATTTCCGGTGCTTATGTTTCCGCATCCATTCATTGCAGTCGTCAAATGTGCAATGAAGATTTAATGACATATCCTCAGCATCTAGTGCGTCTTGTCGTAGTGATATCAATCTTAGTAATAGAGCGTCAATATCCTGAAGAGCTTATTTGCAAATTTTGAGTGGAAGGTGTAATATTTACAAGACGTGGAATTACTGCAGTCTATCATGCTAAGATTTACGTTCACTCGATAATTTACCAGTATTTTATTGAAAAAACAAAAAGTTGGATTGCAAACCGCCATTTTTTAATTGGAGTTCTGATCTAAACCAGAAAACCCAATAAGTAGTTTCCTCCAGATCCCAAAAAACTGTCACATATTCAAAATGGTTTTGATCATATAGCAAGTAAAAAAGCATATGACCTTTCATTAAACTGCAAGGAAACTAAATCTAACTATCCAACTTCTAGAGCTTTACGCTCAGAAAATAATACCCACTTTTTTCGATATTTATGTTTTTAAACATTTTAGTTCCACTATATCAGCTAAAGAACCAGCAATTGTTTACAAAAAAATAGTGAAGTAAAAAAGAATATAATCTTCCATTAAATTGTCGGGAGGGAAACTAACAGTAACTATTCAACTCCTTGAAATTCTGACTTTCAACTCTGAATAATGAAGATGGTAGTCCAAATTCAATGCGGTCTGCGAATATTACTTTCAGAAATGGTTAAGAAAGTACCCGACGAAATCCAGCGGTCCAATGAAATTTTCTGGTCGTTCTCAAATAATGTTCCAAAAAAGTTATAAGTTGAACGGATCCTTCCATAACGCAATCATCGGAAGCTTCTTTTGATGACTCTGTGATCTCCTTGCTTAGCTCTGATCGAAACCCTGATGGGAACGGAAGCAAAAATTCAAATGATATCAAAACCTGCAAAACAAAAATTGTCACGCATAGAACAGGAACAGAGAAAAATTATGTTTAAAAAAAAAATTTGTTTGGATAAGAATTTGAAACTCATTACCGCACGAGGATCTAATTCGGATAACACAGCCAAACCGTAAAATTTTTCAAATTCTTCCCGTTTGAAAAGCATTAAGGCCACTTTCTGTTTTAACTCATTGAATTTCTGAAAATTGCAATATTTCCTGTTTCATCAAAAACTTGTAACAAGAAATATTTCTTATGCGAAAATCATCATTGAATATCTCAGCTTTACCAGTATTTCTGCTTCGTCATACTGCCCATTGGAAACAGCATTTTCAGCAAATCTCAATGCTTCATCCAACTCTCCACTATCGGCAAGAGCTTCTGACCTTAAAAAAAAAAAAAACTTTAGTACAGACATTATTTTTTCGTAGATTTCCTTACGCTCTGAATTTTAACTCGGAACATCTTAAGCTGAACCATGTGACAATCTCTGGCCTGAGAATAAAAAAAAACAATTTTCTGACCAAACTCAACTTACCCTATCAAGCCACGATATTTCTTCCAGATGACTTATATTCTCGCTACTGCAAACATACAATTGTCCATCAATACACTCCAATAACGTTCCAGTAGTGAAGGGCCACCTTTGCAGAACAACTGACTGTTCGGAACTGAAAATACTAGCAAAACCTATCAAGTACTTTGTATTAAATAACTGTCAAATGGACCTGAAACTCTCATTGAAAAATTTTATCAAGTTCAATTCTTAGAAAAACCTGTAAACGGTAATCGATGACGCTGTTAGAACAAAGACATGTGGTGAACGATAAGCAAATGATACGATAGAAGTCAGACCCCAGAATAACGGTGGTCGCGATGAAACACCTTCTGATGTTGCGAAAACGCCTAAGCCTTGCATACCATTCACCAGAAATTCCTCCTGAAACCGATGACACGTGTAGTAAGGTAAGAGAATGATTTCTCTTGAGGTCCAACTTTTATAAGGTTACTTTAAGCGGAAATTTACTAACCGAATCTATGTTTATAATGATAGGAAGTATAGCTTGTGAGTCGTACGGAAACAACGACAGAGTTTTGTTTTCCAGGATATTATAGACAAAATAAGCATTGGGCAGAGCATAGCATATGCCATATTTATTATACGACAAAGCAACCACATTGTCTTCAGTTCGTATCTCTTGTTGAATTACCAAATTATCTGCCTTACTTTCACAAACTAGAATGTAACGATTGTTCGTAACTAAAGCAAACTGTAAGGCAAATGGATCTGCTACTACTGGATCCTTATTCAGTGCCAAATGAGCTATGTTCGACGCTGCGCTTGAGCTAATTGGCTGAAAACTATTCAAATTTAGACCAATTTTAACTTCAGTTAAGTGAAACTGAACTCAATTCAATATTTACATGAATAGGGAAGGGGATTGGAACTCTCGTAATTAGTAAGTACACAGAGTAACGAATACCTATTATGGGTATAAGGCTGTGCAAACTATTGAAATCTAACGGTGGCTTTAGCCAATGTTAATTTGAAAATCCAAAAAAAACTGTTACATGAGATGTGTGAAGAACGTTTAGTGCTTAGTAATGACAAAGTATTAACAGAAAATACAGAGTCTCTGTCCAAAACAAAATAATTTTCCGCGAGTTTCCATTCCTTTCCCTCCCCTTACCAAAAAAAAAAATTTTCAACGAAAGAAAATGTCGTTATTACCTTCAATGTCTTTATTTCTATATTAAAGATGGTGGACGCTGACAGAACAATAAGATAATCAAGTGCTGTGGCAGCCACTATTCGTGCAATGGGAGCATTCTAAAAATATCATTCGAGAAGGCCTAAACTCCACACACTTTGAAAAATTTTCCGCATCTTTTCTGAATCTCGAAAATTCTTTAAAATCCTTACCGTTGAAAGTTGCAACGCATTAATCACATTCTTTGTAGAAAGATTCACAAGCAAAATGCGTCCCTGTGAAGTACCAACAAATAGCGCTCTTGATGTTCCATCAACACAAGTTACCTGATATTAGTTTACAGGACGTAACAATAACACTTCAAGGATACAACTATACGTAATTCATAACTCAATACAAACCTTTTCACTCGGTGCAAAAACCGAAACCGTTTCAAAAACATGAATCAGTCGATAATATTCATCCACCATATCGGAACTATTAAGAAATCGCTGAAAATTATATCTAATGGCCAAGCTTCGGTATGAAGATCGATATGCGATCATATGAAATACTTATTCACGAAAAAGCCGTTTGAAATTCTCATATCACTATAAAATGAAAAAAATTTATTTAAAATAGGTACAGCTCTATGGAAAGAGAACAAATTTGAGAAAAGCAAGACTGAAAATGAAACATAAGAAACTCTGGAAAACGCAATACCTAGCAGCAGAAAAAATCTTCAAATAACAAAAAAAAAACTAAAATATCAACTTAACCTTCATATTTCTTTATACCTGCTCAAAATTCATAATGCACATACAAATGCGTACAGCGTACTTCCACTCCATTTTATTAATTGAATTGCAACGATAAATACAACGCCAACTATTTATGGGAATCATAGGATTTTTCGTACTTCACTAACATTAAAAAACAAAAATAGTGTGCTAACATGAAACAAAAATTAAGATGAGACTAAAATGTCAAGAAATTCAAAATCCCAAAATGAAACAACATAAAGCGAAGAGAACCCATATGAATGAGGATATAACAGCCAAACGAAGAAAGACAACAGATTAATGTAGTTACCAGAAACTTAAAAACGGAATGATCACAAAACCCGGATTTGATATGAATTACATGAGAAATAAAGACAAAAGGAAAAGAAACAATGAACTCTACTGAATAGACGAAAGCCTGACTCTTCAGGGATGTGGAACAAGCAACATTATTTAAGAAAACTTTTCAAAATGCATCTTTCATTTGATGGAAGGGACGTACAGCCAAATCCACCGGTAGATGAAAATTATACTTATGAAGACGTTCCAGCAAATGGTAAATGTCCTCACAGCCTGTAAATTACTGTTTATTTAGATGTTTAAATGATAAAACGAAGTTGACTAGTTTTAAAATCCAAACTCATGCGTCTCATCAGAATCTTCGGAGCGTCTATTGCAATCTACTCTTGGTAACAGCAAGGAAGAATACCAGGTTTGATTATCCAAGCGTCTTCAAAACAAAACTCACTTGTCAGCCATCAATTTATTCCGTCTTATTCACCCACTGGATTTGCTAACTACTTTGATCAATTTTTGTTAGGTAGTGTCATCGTAGCACTCCTTAAACTACTGTGCTTCGATATTGCCTAAGCTCCGCTATCTCATTTTCAAGACATTGAGATCCAGTCCATTTTCGTGAGAATCTAACCTTCAATTTTTTGTCGATTTCTTTAAAATTTTGAAACAATCAAATAAATACCTGTTTTAGCTACATAAGACCAAGGTGCAAAACACTGTTCAACAATCTGTTCTGTGCAGAAAATCGTTCGTATCCACGCTGGCAACTTTTTCTCATTTAGTGCCGCGCACATCAGAGCCTTCCACATTGCATCGGGAGAGCGTTTCAGTCGACTGTGAGTTGAAGTAATATTTTCGATAGTTGACAGTAAAAGCTATAAGACATAAATTAAACATTGCGTTTCGAAATATGCCGGTTTTAAAATTAAAGCTTTTTTTTTGAGTGAGAAAATAGTTACAAAATTCTCTGATTTTAAACCACCACCGAACTATTTCAATATAAATGAAATGCAGCTTTCACTTCGAAGTTCAAAGAAAGTGAATTCCAACCTGCTTTGATGTGACACTTCGACCCGCAATCACATCGAGCTGGTAACTTTGTGAAAGACGACGAATGGGTGCATCACAGTATTCACGACCGAACTTCGAATCGTAATAATGTATCACAACATCCCAAACATGTTCCAGCTTTCGCGCTGAATCTTTTTATCCGAAATTCAGGTTATATTAGATAAATTAAATTCAAATAATTCAATGCATCAGCTACGAATGATATCCATCATAAAAAGAAGCAGTATCAAGCACCTTAAAAACTTACCACTGGTGTTTTTGGCAGCGCGTGAACTTCCAGGATAGCAACCCAAAGATGTGAAATTAACTAAATTTTTGACAACGTTATTCATACCATGTTCCAAAAGACCACGCATGGCTGGACACAGTTGTTTTCTAATGACGGTAACTACTTCCTCTTCGCTCCGTTTGAAAATCTCAATTAAAAAATTACATAAGGTAAGCCATATTATTTAACTCTAAGTTAAGAGTGAAATCTTGTAAAAAACATATGATAAATGGCAAAATAAGTAGCAGATAAATGTCATGCTATAGATTAGAAGGTTGTACTGCAGTAGCTAAATAGACTATCCGAATTTGAAGGATGAATAATTCGGTGTTATTCTCGCTGCCAGTTTATCAAGCATCAAAGCAAATCGTAGTTTACCACCGCCCTCTTATCCTATAGTGTTCCAAAATCTTATAAGCAACTCTTCTTTTAAAATTCATGGAATAGCCTTCACGATGAGAAATGACACCAAATAAAGAACCTCATCACATGATTTATTAAATGACTCAGCATAAGACTTTTCCGTATCCACCGAAAGCAGAAGATACTTCTCCATCACTTGAGTTGTTGCATCAACCGCCAATTCTATCCGTGCTCGCTCATCACTAAAATTATCATACCCGTTGATCACTTCATCATTTGATAGGAAATAAGAACATTACAAATAGTTTTAAAAACACTTGCCCATAATGACTTCCTTGTGGTGTTTGTTTCAGCTGATTACGCTCGAATTTCTGGTTAAACCCTATTAAATTTATGAATGAACCCTTCTTTGACTGTGCAACGGGTAGGGAAGCAACTGAATTAGGCAAGCGCTCGCTGGCTTCCGTCTGCAGAAAACCAATAAATCGTTCAAGATCGACAATCTGTGCTTGCAGTTGCTTCACTAATTGCTCTTTCGCTTTAATTGGATTCACAAGCTAAATGTATATCGATGCAAACATATGTATTGTATAGATCAAAATTTCTTGGAACATATAGGATAACTGTAACACCTTTCCTGTCAGTTCTAAAATCTTGAATCCATGTACACCATTTTCCGTATTACTTGGAAAAAAGTACCTTTTTCAATGCCTCATCAACCTTTTTTTGCAAATCGCTTCGAGACATTCTATCCAGCTCTAGATCTAACTGCACTTTTTCGTGAAGTTTGTCAATAACTGCTTTCTAAAATAGAACACTTCGCAGATCACATTAAAATGAATCCATTTGTTTCATTAACATCGTAACAATAAAAAAAGAAGCTCTACTGCAAGAAGTATAACAGTATTTCCTGGGAAATAAAGCGAAAAACTTAGCCAGTTAACTTATAATGGCCAAACTGAATAAAAGTAGCAAAATATACCTGTCTAGCCATGACTTCGGCGCTTGGAAGGTCACCTTCACCACTTTCATACGCATACTTCTCCAGATCTTCCAGTTGCTGTTTCAAATGAGCGATAAGTATCTTTTGTCGTTCCTTTTGCTGATCCATATCATCTTTTCTGCCATTATCTATCACTGGCGAGCACTTTCGTCTTTCCAATCCCGGTTCAATACAACCACGGAACGCAAAATCTTCCAGTTCTTTTAGTAGTCGCTACAAGTTACTGTTCTACAGAATGCATGAATACTTGGTGATGACAATTTACTGGCATTTCTTCGTATTTACAGCAACGAATAATGTCAAATTCAGGAACATAAATGAAGAAGATTGAGAAAACACGTCTTTTTCAACTACCCCGATCAAAGAAATTTAGAGAAAAGTATAGCTTTAGGAATTTGGAATTCATGAAAAAAAAAACAAAATTACATCTCTTTCAGATGCATCCGCCTTACTGATCTGCTTCAGACGAAACTGTACTTGTGCAAAATGTGTTGATAAAGACAGCAGTGAACTATTTAGGCGTTCCTGCTCTTCTTCAAGTTCCCGAAAACGAATGTGTTCATCTCTGAAATAAACCATCAATGGAGCTCGACTAATTAATTCTCAGTGAAAGTCCAAAATTTTGGAACACAAATAAATATTACGAAATAAAAATTTGCAAGGCGATCAAAATACTGGAAATGACAAAAATCACCATTAAATCAATATTTCACTTATAACGATAGATCAAAATTATTAAAAGTAACGGCTAGAATGTAAAACTCACAACTGTACAGCTTGCAGCTCGTCCGAAAACTCACCGGTAGCAGCCCATCTTTCCATATCAGTCGATTCATCTACAAAAATCCGAAAACGAAACTGAAGGACACGGGAGTTGCTGGCTTTTAGCTATAAGTGAAAATGAAGCAACATGTTTTTAGATAACAATCCTTTGAGACGAATATTAAAATCCGGAGTAATAATGAAACTTGCCATCGGAAGTGCTGGGTACTAATTTATCAGCGAATGTTGAAGGTAACTTATTGATGTCCACAACGTCCTCACCAATCATCATTTTCTTCCTGAAATGAAATATCAATAACTTAAGTATCATCCGGGACCAGAAACACCTTGAAGTCTTTATAAATAATTTGAGATATAACTAATACGAAGATGAAACAACACCATTACCCAAATCCACGACTTCTCTAACCCGCCCTCCTCTAAACACAGCCTAATCTGTAATACAGCTCAGGTATAACACTACCCTCTTTCAGATTACCCACAGCGGTCCTTGGCTCACGTATGGGCTTCGATATGAAACGGATATTTACCAACTATTTGATTGCTCCTGAATTCTTATGGTGTCTCGGTTAGTTTCAAATTTTAGCACAAGAAATTGTGATATTAAAAATATTCATAAAGTGAGTATAGGAGGAAATTGATAGCGTCTCCTGTTTACTTTGGAAAATAAGAAATCAAACGCATTACATCACTTGCGAGATTATTTTAATTTGACAAATCTCGTGTCCGTCAATTACAATCACAACTGGTTATTCATTTTCTTCATCGTTCAATTCCTTCCTTTCTTTTTTCCTCCTCATGCACTGACGGCTTAGTTTGTGTAATTAATTTTGACTAATGTGGACTTTTAATGTCGCAAATTAAATGGAAATTATATACTTTCATTAGAATGGTAAATGTTATACTGAGACTCACACAAACTCACAATTTTTCCAAACGTCAGTGTTTTGATGACATTATGAAATTACAAATAAGGCCGAGGTCAGCAATAGCAAGGAATCTTGTTGATGTGTTTTAGTTTAGAATCGATAAATATCTCAATTCAGAAGCGGTGGCAACTAGGGAAGTCTTGAAAATTTCAAACAGAATAAGGAAACACTGTCATTATCAAAAAGAAACCAGGAAAACTTACCGACAATCGAATTAAATATAATATTTAATAGTCAGTATGATGAACGTTTTCTACAAATAAGTGATTTCATTCGATAAAACTCATCACTCCCCAATTTTATGACCACTTATTTCAGTCAATAGTTGCAGTTAAGCTCTAAAGAAGAAATAATACCGAACCATTAAATAAATGGGATTTCAAATGCTACCCCACTTTAATAAATAGAACTTTGAAATTAGTCTTCAGGAATCAGAAAAAATTTCAGAAACACTCTACCTGCATATTGTTCTACAACAGTGAACACTAGTGATGTAAACTGTTATCGGAAAACATGTTCTTATGTAATCTTGCAAAAAACCTGCACTACAAAACGCTTGCGATATTGAAAGATTTATAAGAATTCTAACTTCTTTAAAATGCAGAAAGTTGACTTCAATTAATAAAATGATATTTCATCTAAATTTGACTGTTTGCTTCGTCGGTGAGTGTGAAATGTGGTAAATTTTTGTACACTTTTTTTTGTTGTAAATAAAACAGTAGTTGAAGTGAGTTAAACACTACCAATTAAATTCAAATGAAGAGTTAAGTTGGAATGTGTCTGATTTCTTGAAATGTTAGAATAAATATATAGAACTGATTGGGGTAACAAAAGATCTTTTTAACAATAAATAATGACGGTTCGTTTGAAGACGTCACATGGCCGAATTACGAAGATTTAGTTGGTAAGATCGATACCAAATGACCTATTTTCCTTGTCTACTGATCGATCCCGAAGAGAACGCAAAAACATGGCATAAGTGGACAAATGGATGCCATAGTTTTGGTCATTTTTTGAGTTGAATTTAAAAAGATTCCAAAAGAAACAAATTTTGAGTTCATCGGACACACAAAATTCTGAAGAAAGCAACTGTGTAGCGTGATGTTGTTTACAAGTAGGTTGAAGTTGTGAGGAGGAAGTCCAATTCGCTTTCGTATAACACTTTTGATGCTTCCATTAAGTATTACGGCGTAAATGTCACCTCGGTGATTTGGCAATTTTACCATGGCAAAAAGTGCAACGCAGAAGAAATTTGTTTTCATAGCTTCTTTATATGCCTTATTCAGATGAAGTAGATATGTGTCGATTTCCTTAAAACTTTGCAAAAGTTTTATTAATTTGCCATGCTCAATCCCTTTGCTGGCATAGTTTTTCAACAATTCAGCAACTGAATAAAAATCGTTCAGACGTAATTAGAACAAGTGAAAATAAACAACAAGTTGTCATCTCACAGCAACCAAGCTACATCTCCTGTCCCTAATCTCTCGTGATATGTGAGCTCCCGATACTGCATGATGGAAGGAAACCAAAGGATGCGTAATCGTCTTTACGCAAATTCCGCCGAGTAGAGCACAACCAATGGTTACGTGGGGGTGTGTCATGCTCGTTATCCAATGGGCGAACAACACACAACGCTCTGTGCGCCAGGAATGCGGAGAGGAGGGGAAAGGTGGGTGGGTAGGCTGTTATCAAAGGGAGGATGGATGGCATGATGACTATGATTAGGTGTCGTGTCGCGTCGAGCTGAACTCATTCGCTGTTTCAGGTCATGTTTAGGTTGGTTGTCGTTCTTAGCCTGTCGCTTCAATTTGTACTACACCCCGTGGCTCAAGATGCAAGCGTAGAGGAGGATGAAGGAGTCCTCATACTTACAAAGGTTAATTCTCATAGAAGTGTTATCTAACAGAGGTTTCTAGTGAATCCTCGCTTCTTATATCACCTATGACCAGCACGAGATTCTCGTCCATCATAATTTTATCAATCAATAGCATTCCAAACTTTTCCGTCTTCTTCTTAGTGTCACATAAGTTTCACATGAAATTAGAGGAGTATGCAATGTTTCAGAACTATTCACTCATTCAAAATGGTTGTAGTAATTAGATTCACAAACACATATATTTTCCAGTGATCGGTATCATTTTTAAGAAGTTATGATGTGTATAAAAAATCAAATTATCATCTTTCTATCTACGCCTTCACATCAGTGAGTGAAATGCAGAAAAATGTATCTGGAACTAGTTCTGTGAGGGAAGTTAGAACTAGGTCCAGCAGGAGGTTGTGATTCAAAGCATTCGTCGTTTGGTCAAGTTTTCAAACCATACGCTTTCTAACAACATTTTCTGCAATGAAATTTTCTTGAGCGTGCTCCTGTTTTCACTTCTCATAAAAGCATTCATTAGTTACGGTTTTTCTTTTGCATTATCATCTGTCTGGTCTACCAGCAAATTTAATAATTTCATATTGTTTTCAACTCCATTGATTTCGTAGTATTAAGCAGCAATGTCCCTTTCTAGTGGAACTTCCAAAACTTTTCATATCCAACAGAAATTTTTAGGATAATTTTGATGACACGGTAGCAGCACATGAGTTTATCCTGGTTGAATTCTATGCACCATGGTGTGGACACTGTAAGGCTTTGGCACCTGAATATGCAAAAGCAGCGCAGTTGCTGAAGAAAGAGGAGAGCCCCATCAAGCTTGCAAAGTGTGACGCCACGGCACACAGCGAGCTTGCTTCAAAATATGAGGTATATTAACCAGTTTGTATATTTTATTTTCGTATTTACTTAGAGTAGCGAAAGCTCCTCCTTCTGACTTTCTATGTTTTAATTGGTGTTGTTTAAGGCCTTTATAAATGAACCTTCGTATACACCCTAAGTTTCATACGAAAGATCAAACTCTGATTATTATTAACTGAGTTATGTAGCGAATTAAGAAAATGGTGCTTATTTTCCGGAATTACAAATTTACAATGTTGTGAGCCACATAAAATAAGTTGTCATTTCAGGTGCGTGGTTATCCGACGCTGAAGTTATTCCGTTCGGGTAAACCGCAGGAATATGGTGGTGGACGAGATGCAGAGTCCATCATTGCTTGGCTAAAAAAGAAGACAGGTCCAGCAGCCAAAACTATACTTTCAGCTGATGATGTGAAGGACTTCCAGGAAAACAACGAAGTGTGCATCATTGGTTATTTTAAGGTAATTTTTGTTTGGAATTTTCTCGCTGATTTGAGGGAATCTGATCGTTAGCTGTTTTGGTGTACCATTTTTGGGATACTTTTCAGGATACTGAAAGCGCGAATGCAAAGGTTTTCCTGGAAGTAGCTGCAGGGTTTGATGATATACCATTCGGTATCACTACTGAAAATGATGCGGCAAAGCAGATTGAACTGAAAAGTGAGGGCGTTGTGTTGTTGAAAAAATTCGACGAAGGACGGGCCGAATTTAGTGAGAAATTAATAGCTGAAACACTTAAAACTTGGATTCAGGTACTTTTTGAATTCTCTGTCAGTTTGAATGGTTTTTCATCCTTTTACATTACAGTTGAATCTATAATAGTTTAAAGAAAGGTCAACAGAAAACTTTTTCTGCTTGGTTCCGCTGTGCTTTTGGAAATGTGCTACTGTGTATATCCGTCTCTTATTTTGTGCACTCTTTTCTTTTCTTTAATCATTTCTTTTGGATCAATAATCATTACCTTAAATGTATTGTTTTACTGTCTTCAACTGACGTTAGTTAATGCTGTTTAAATCATTCCTTTTGGTTCAAAACTACTTATTTTCAGGCTCAAAGATTACCGCTTGTGAGTGAATTCACGCAAGATACTGCACCAGTTATTTTCGGTGGTGACATTAAATCACACAACCTCTTATTCGTTTCAAAAGAAGGCTCAGAATTCGGAAAACTGGAGAAAGAGTTCCGAGCAGCTGCCAAGAAATTCAAGGGCAAGGTTGTTATTCATAACTCTGCTATTGAATTTTTATGGAGTTGCAGTGGCTTTCGACATTATGGAATCACATTTCCAATTGTAATATTTTAAGGCGTTTGGATAACTCGTATGAGTAACGGAAGTCTTTTATAGGTTCTTTTCGTCATAATTAATACAGACGTAGAGGACAATGCTCGTATCCTGGAATTCTTCGGTCTGAAAAAGGAAGATTTAGCAGCACTGAGATTGATCAGTCTGGAAGAAGATATGACTAAATACAAACCCGAATTCAAAGAAATTACAGCGGAAAATATTGTACAGTTCACGGAAATGTATCTTGCTGGTAAACTAAAACCACATCTGATGACTCAGGATATTCCTGGTGACTGGGATAAGAATCCAGTAAAGGTACTAGTTGGAAAGAACTTTGACGATGTCGCAAAGGATGCTAAAAAGAACGTCATTGTGTTGTTCTGTAAGTCTTTCGTTTAGAGATTATAATATGGATTGATCATCTTGGTGTCAAAATGGGTGGTCTCTTTTCATCGCTAAAATAATATATTAAGGTTTTCATATTTTGATTTCGAATCCTTATAGCATTCTTGACTTGCCGGTAGGGTTTGGAAGTTATGTAGAGAGAGTAGCATGAAGTTTCCCATGAATCCAACAGAGTTTCATGAACTATTAGATAGCTTTGCTTCTCATTTCGTTGCAAGCAAAATTTTCGTAATGTAATTAATTTAAATTCTTTTGATCCGTGCGTCCTGTAGTTCCTCTTTTGATTATCTGATGATTAGATTTTATTTTGCACAGTTCTATTATAAAAATAGAATTGCAGATGCTCCATGGTGTGGACATTGCAAACAGCTGATGCCGACATGGGATAAATTAGGTGAAAAATATAAGGATCATGACAGTATACTGATCGCTAAAATGGATGCGACAGCAAATGAAGTGGAAGATGTTAAAGTGCAGTCATTCCCAACAATTAAATTTTTCCCTGCTAGTTCTAATAAGGTAAGTTTTTTCTTACAGATTTCATGGAGCTTTCTAATACTTTTAAGATGGAGAAGTGTATTTAGGTCTTTGATGCCACGAATGCACAGAATTTACCGATCTCACGACTGCCTATATTTCCAAAATAATTTTCTAAAATCACAAATCCAACAAGCGAGCGAAGCCTCCACACCATTAATCAAAACTAAAGTTGTTAACTTGGTGCTGCAACGACAAAAGTTGAAACAAATGATCCAGTCATGAGGTCGATAGATTCTGCGCATTCATCTTAGTGCGCAGTTCTATGTATATATTCTCGTAGACTTTGTAGAAGAAATGTTTTGTAAAAATTACAATCAAAGGAGTTTGGAAAGAGCACTGATTTAGATTTTTGATTTGTGAATGTTACCTCGGTAAAGTGTTTTTGAAGGGCAGTAATAAAATAAACTTTCTTGTACTTATTGCAGATTATTGACTTTACTGGTGAAAGGACATTGGAAGGGCTGACGAAATTTCTGGAAAGCGGAGGTAAAGATGGTGCTGGTTTATCAGACCAAGAGAAGGCAGAGGCTGAAGCAGAAAATGAAGATGAAGAAGCACAACATACTGAACTGTAATATCGGCTTAGAAACCTCAGATTTGAATAGTGCTGTTAGATGGGAAAAGTCATCACTAAACCAAAGGAGGGTACTACTCCAACTAAACAAATAGTTGAAAGGTTATGAGGTCTTGGAAGATAACATGCTGATACTCTTGACGTTTACTGTCTGACGACAATTTTCTCCTCGTTATTTTTTCTCGGGATCCATATTTTGCATATGTGTTGTTATTTTTGATGGTGATTATGAAGGAAGATAAAAATGATGAAATGCAAAGGATTTCATTCTCCCTCTTCCTTTTTTTGAAATATGTTTTGTTATTCATCATTTTGAAGGGAGTATTATGCCTGTATAACTATAACTAGTTATTGTAATTTTTATAACTAGTTATTGTAATTGTTGGTTTTCATAAAATTTGGTGTGTCTTTTGTTATATTTTTTTCTGTTTGTGTCGGCAGATTTTGGATGTGTTTCTAAATTAGTAAAATAAGATTGTAAAACTAAAGATAAAATCATTTGCAAAGGAGCATGATTTAACTATCACACTGCTTTTCGTGTATGGGTTTGAAGCCGGAGTTGTGACATTGGTTATTTGCAGATTCTTGGCTCACTGTAAAGTACTTGCATTTTCGTTTTGCTGGCTAATTAGGAGTTGGGCTTTGTTTTATTTTTTCCCCACCAACTGAAACCTATTTCCCTAGTCCCGGTTAGACGAGAGTTCTTGTAGTTCTTTAATTATGGTCAGTTGGGCGGAAGCCATCTTAATATCCACAAATTATATGTAACGATGTCAGGCTCTAGAGTAGGGAGGCTTTGAAAAGAAAGGTGGAAGGGACTGCGCCGACCTGTCATTTTACCAGTACAATTTTATGGATTTTCTGAATCAGTAGAGAGATGGCAGGTAAGGGAAATAATGAAGTGGATTATTCCGAACCGGAGAAGGGAGGATGTCCAGCTGGCCTTTGGAATTTACATTCGTTGCGGTTCTAGCTTGAAAACCAGGAGTTTCGCAGCGACTAGCAAGTTCCGCAATTTAGTGGAAAAAGAACAAGAATGCCACTTTTGGAAAATGATAGAAGCGATTAGTCTAGCCTAAATTCCAACCATTTGATGTTAAGTACTACACAGTGAATACAAATACACCACCTTTATATAGGGACTGTTTATAACCAGAAAACTAGAAAGTGGAACTGAATGGTACTGCAAAATGAGAGCAGAAACAACGAATGATCCACGAAAAGATTCTCTTAGGTCTTTTGGGCATCTACAAACTATTTTTGCCCTAGAACTCTGAACTTCTTCGAGGAAGTTCTAGAGAGCATGTTTTGAAGCGGATATATCCAGATATGCACTGACGGAACTTTTCGATTTGATCCCCAAGCGACTTTTTTTTAAATCTAAAAATTTCAACAAATGCATTTACATTCAGATACATTGAAGAAATATTAAATCCAAGTTACGACAAAATATGACGAATATAAATAAAAAATAGCAAAGTAGTACATACTTCCCTCGACTGTTAGCTTAACCAGCCACAAGCATTTGAAGCATTGAAAAGTATTAGATTGATAAACAGATGTACGTAAGACACTGTTCATGTAACTATTTCTGTTTGTGCAAGCAATCTGAGCAGGAAAAAAGTTACTATGAATCAAGGGTAAAAAATTATACAAATCATCGCTGACAACATTCAGCTTGTACATTATATAATTGGCAATATGAACAAAAAAATACGCACGAAAATAGAGAAACAAACTAATGCAACAACGCAGCTCAGCAATAAAAAACTTGCTAAATCTGTTAAAAGTAACAATATAGTGTAGCATGAGCAAGCAAATTAATTAGTATTTGAAAGGAAAGAAGTAACGAAGTGAAAACATGGACGTGAGACCAAGTACCGTAAAGTATACCCAAAAGTCATTATTATATTACATATTTAACATTAAAATAGTTAATTCCCCGGTCATGAAAGTGAGGTGGCCAATAACGAAAGGCAATCAAGCCCACTGCAAAAGATCGTTGCAGTGAAAACAAAAGCTGCTTATTCCCCCCAATCTTTTGCAATTTCTAAACTCCACGTCCAAGATATCCAATCATGTCCATCATCATCGCATACCTGCGACTTCACCTTGTAAGTTCCACGGTGCAGTATACCTGCAAATGCAATACTATAACTTGGTAAAACTAACTCGTGATAAAACCACTTTCATAAAACTAAATGAACAGCTAAAGTTATGTAGATGGCAAAACCTGCTGCAACATCTCCCGGTACTTGAGAAATGTAAGAAAATTAACCAGAAGGGGCTTCATCTAATGGTGTAATAAATGACTGCATTTCCATTTTCGGCGCATATGAACCCATCATAAACGTTTCTCTATCAACTGAAAAGACTGATGTAGAGAAGCATGCTTTGAACGAGTTTCATTTTTTTAAAAGTATCTTCTCCGTTGAATGTCTCACTCATCACTAAGAATACTAAAGTAACTTTCCATTCGTGAATATATTATACTATAATGAATCACGAAATAAGACTTAGAAACTTTATTTGTGTCATTTCTCAACAAGTAATACCAAAACTTTAACATGTTTATGCAAAACAGAAAATTCTCACACCTGTTATGGAATGACGCGTGACCTTCTGTATGTATTTTAAACCAGTACAAATCTCTCTTTGTACATGGAAATCAAAACGAATCCTGTATGCGGCTCCTTCCTTTATCACGAATGATGCCTCATTTAAATGTTCTGCAATTTCATTCAAACCCTGACGCTTCCTCCGTTTGAATGGAAAGTACTTTAGCAACAATTCGAAAATTACTTCGCAAGTAATTCTATACTGCTAATCCGGGTATTTCAAATAACATATGATAGTTGTCCGTTCCAAATGAGAAGAAAAACAATTACAAAACGGCAAAAATTTACCTTTATCAAGATGCATTGTGATATCCGGACGACCTTCGACAACCAACGTGATGGAACGTACAAGAACATTGCGAGGATCGGTTGAATCGACAATTACTTGCTCAGATTTCGCTTGGCCCAGAAGTGCCTGTTTATAACTGCAAGTCAGCAAATAAGACCTGTTTTCGTTTTTCAAACATAGGAATTGTGAAGGAGCCGCATCTTCGTTAAAAACTTTAAATCAACTGTACTAAGTTTCCATACCATTGAAATATACCTTAAAAAGTGAGGCATACAGTTTTCCTTTGCTCTACATCCAGTTCAAGACTTTTTGACTATTTCAGGTTGATGCACACATTAGTTTGGGTAATTTTGTAAGGGACTGCAATGCCGGAATATTATTCAGCTTTGCACTACTGCTCTGATGAAGCACTTTGTTTTTCGAAAAGAATGGAACGATTTCCAAATCAGGTAATTACCCACCGATTTAAACTTTCATCATTAGCATCAGTTGCAATAATCTCAGAAACAGACTTCTGCGGAGGTGGCACGTAATTTTCCTGTGCGCTGTCCAGCTTCAAATTCTGCATTTCCTTCACATCCATTTGGTGCCTACAACTTGCTACAGAATTCCATCAAATTATTAATTAAACAACTACAATGTGAACCATAAACGAAATGAAACGTAAAGTTAAAAGATGAATAGAAGCAATAAAACGAGTGCAAAAGTTAAATAATGATCAGTTTCAATGTACGTAAACCTTTTTCAAATCAAGAAGCAATCAAGTCCCACGCTGGCTTCTATCAGTGCTACGAATACCGCTCAACGGACAGATATACTTTGAAGCCCTAACCCTTACCTCAATTTCCTGTACACCGTGGTAAATGCTTTAACTAATGCCTATGGAAAGAGCAGCGAGATGACACGTCATCAGCATGAGATGAAAAATGAAACTCATAGAAGTTCTTATTAATACACGCTACAAATCTCTATCCTTCTCAGCCGTTTACCATTTCATTATAATGGCAATATGTGGGACAGTAAAAACATCTGTTATCCAACTGCCGAAATTCCCAAAGTGCGGATATCACATAACTTCACTACCCATATATTAATGCTTGCTCTTCAAACCAATCGATAATCTTAAGTTAAATAAGATTTGCATGAAGTGCAGTTACCTGCATAAATGTTAAATGAGGTGCAGTCATGAAGTGCAGTCACCTGCATGAAATCCAGGTCACCTGCATAATTGCCAAATACACTGGGACACGTATAGAGCTCAACACCATAAGTGCACACAAGGACATTTAACACGATGCATCTTCCACCTAAGCCGAATAAATGTAGCTTTTAAAATATTAATTGTAATCTACTTGCTGGCCTGATTTTTACTAGTTTCGATCCTTGCACTATCCAAAAAACAGTTCCCTGTTCAGCCCACCCAACAATTCACAATAAAATGAAACTGCGTTATCCCTTACTTCTTCGAGTCTTTACCTAGCGCTTGCCGTGAACCTAATGATTGGCATGTTAGCTAAACTTTCCACTTCTTAATTCTAACTTGGGCGATATGAAATTTTATGGTTAATACTATCTGCAGTGGAAGAGAAAGTGCACAGGCTCTCATACCTAAATCTTTCACCTTCAGTGACTTCAAATGAGCAACTTTATTATCCACCTATGAGAATGCTATCTGCGCTCTTCATTCACATTCTGGATCATCGCATCTCCTGACTAGGACAACAATATGACTTGAGGGGCGATGAAAATTATTGCAAGTACGTGTGAGAGCTATTTCGTACTGGTCGTGCAACAATGACTTTGTAAACAGCCAACAAAAGGTGCAAATTCCCCAGAGATAGAGAAATACGGCCCGTACGGGATATTTCGCGCACGCGGTGGAAATGGTGCTCATTGCTCTTGCATTTTGGATTTCATGTGGTTCTTCCGTATGCAGTAGTTGAGCTTCTGTGAGTCTGAGTTATCCCGGAAGTCGAGGAACTCGTATAAGCTCTCTGTCCATTATTTTGAATGCAATGATGATGTACGTGTTTAGCTGCATGCATGATACGAGGTGCTTCCTTACAGACTGCTAATTTCAGCTTGTTTTCAAATAGTTTCCAACTTGGATGTTGCTGTATTTACCACTTTGTCGTCGCACCATTTCTATCACTTCCTTGAGGCTTTCGTCGGCAGTTCCTCACGGTGCTCATGGTGAAGAGAATATTGAAAGGAAGCCAGCAGATTACAGGTCAGTTCATCTTCATTAAGGATGTTGTAGTTTGTCATTTATTAGCACTGGAGAATACAAAAGGCTTCGGTAGGTGTTGTAGAATTTATTTCCTGTTACCCTGGAACCATTGTTGAAATTCAAAAAGGTCTCATTCAATTATGCACTTTAGACTACTTGTCTGTTAAGATGATAATAGAAACATCCAAGGCAGTCGCAGAACTAGGACAAATAATATTCTCTCTTTTGTTATAAAAATATTTAACAGTGGATATGGTGTTGTATTGTTTGTTTTCTTGGTTAGTTAGAAATGCTGTTGGTCAAAATACTTCACTGGGATTCTGAAAAAACCTCAGTTGGTTTTTGAGTACTTGGCGAAAAGGAAAAGCTCTCGTAAAGATCAAACTGCAATCCTTGGCGTACCTGCAAGGATGGGATGCAATCTAGTGAAGAATAATAATGTGTGACGTTGAATGCTTATCAGATATATTTCTAGCCTTTTTAAATTTAATTGGTTACAAACAAAATCTGCGAACTTTTCGGTAAAGAAATGTATTCATTGCTCACAAAAATCGTTCCGTTAAGTGTAATTTTGTGGTAGTAAATTTATAGATCCTTGTATTTTATGACTGTTATAGCATAATTTCTGTTCGGACACTTTTCAATACGTATTTTAGACCTGGTTCCGACTCTTATGCGTATGAAAATCCATGGCCGAAATTAAATGGTAGTCGTCTGGATTGGCTATTTGGTGATGGCTGGAGAAGACCACTGGCAAAAGATCAGGGCGGTCAGATTGTTGGTTTTGATAATTATTTGGTTTCGGAATACTTTCTTTCGAGTCAGATAAAATTCCAAAATTTTCACTAATATTGGCTCAATTTGTCTCCAAGTTAATTTACAGCGTCGTAACTGGATTTGGTTTGGTTTGTCTCCTTATGATGAACATGCTGATTGGTTGAAATTTCATCAATACATGTTTGTTTTGTTAACGATAATGGTTAGTTGGGTGACGCTGTACATTCTTTATGCTGCTCCTGATTGGTTTTGTTTTTTTTTTTTTTGTTTTTTGAACATTTCTTTCAATTTCTTCTGCTACTTTACTTTATTAATAAGCATCTCAGTAGTACTTACCTGTTCAGGAAGAAGGTTCTTGGGAATCTCCCTCTGCTCGGATATTTGTGCTTCATAAATAACCTTCAAACTAGGCTGATTATGTCAGCATACTGTGATAGTGGCCTTCTTTTCTGCGTCTTCTGTTTATTTCAAGTACATATCAGACAGTTCTTAAATGTATAATTAGGAGTACTTCAAGTTATATTACTCTTCATGAAACGATAGTTTGCTTTGCTTATAAGTCTGTTCCTCTTACTGTTTCTCGAAAGGTACCAGTAATTTATTTGAGAAAAGTCAAGGCTCCAAATATTAAATGACTCACACGCAGATTTCTCGGGAAACGAAAAGTTTTTGTGATATTAGAAAAGCTTTTTACAAGTTTTTGAAAGAGCTGTATCTTGTTCTGATATGTAACGGCAATAGTTATAATTTGTTGCAGGCCACAAGCGAGAGATTGGGCATATCGAGAGGCTCATTTGGAAATGGCGCGAAGGGAAAAAGCAGGCTTACCATATATCAGCAAAGACTTAGTTCGATCAGACAAAATTTTCCTTCCATCGGATGAGGAACTTCAGAACTTCGAAATTACCATTTAGATAATTTTGGTTATTGTAAATATGCCTTAATTTTAGGAATGACCCAATAGTTTGTTGCATTCATTTCACCAAATTACTAAAGCATTCAATGGAATGAAATGTTACATTCAAAGTTTTTGAAGATGTCCATGTTAACGATCCATCTATGTTAATCTGTAATACATACATCTGATGCCTCTGTTGAAATATTCTATCCTTGATTTCATGTGGGAACATTAGATTAACTATGACTTCGAACACTATATAAAAATTCGACTCGAAAAATCAAATCCTTAAATCTTTGAACTGAGATATCTTTCTTTTTCAAAATCTCGTTGGCTGAATATCACTGTTTATTTTGCAGTTAAATGTAACATGTGTTTAATCTGTTAGAGGATGCAGTATCTTAGAGAAAAGTGTTATAGACTCGTAACTTATGTGTTTCTGAGACACAATGTATTTAGCACCGAACATGGATTAAACGGATGTGATGTTGTTGCCTAAATTAAATGAATGACAAAGCAATTTTATATCTCTCGGGAACTGTGCCATTCATTTCAATAGGAAGATAAAGGACATAAGAATCATCTCCAAGCTCTGCGTTTGTTCGTTTGGCTTCCTTGTCTCATTTCTTCATGGACGCTGCTCCTGTTCATAGAGCTGGTCGTTGCTTGCAGGAATCCAGCTACAAAACAGATTTTCATGGGCTTGCATATGTTGAATATGTCCTTCAGAAACCTGCATTTTAGACGAAGAGATTAATGAGTGGTTTAGAAACAGAGTTATGGAAGTAGAGAAGTTTAATGAAACGAACATCTTTCGAAGACTGGTTTTCTATTGATGGAAAGTTGGGCGGCTAATTTCGATAGTTCCAGTTTTATCGGTTCGCCACTTGCTCTGGTTAATAATCCTTCGGGATACTTATGTCTCCAGCTGTCCAAATCTTGAAAATGTAATTCGAGAGGGAAAAAGGGAATTAAGTTCTTTTTCATGTCGAAACATTTTACTTCCTCCACATATCATTTACTGGAGTTACCTGAGCTTTTCTCGTATCAAAAAATGTTTCAGATACTATACCTCCTCTTAACAGCACAGCATTGTATCCCCTGTCACAAAACGTTGACACAACTTGGCCAGCTCCGTAAACCTGACCACAGACAATTAATGTTCCCTGTGCACCTACTCTCTTCATTGATTCTGTTTCATACTGTTCACGGGACAGAAGGATTCGTGGGTAGTGTTCAGCTACAAATTTTCAGATTTTTAAAAATTACATATAGTCGCTTTTGGACAAATGAAATGCATGCCAAATATTATAACAAACCTCCGATAATGTGTCCCTTGACGAACTGTTCTTCTGGCCGAACATCTAGAATGGCAAGTGGTTTCGTTGCTAGTGCTTTCTCATCAGTCAATATAGCAACCTGGAAACACTCCTCAGTGAACAAAAGATTTTTGGAATATTCCGGTCACTATAGTTTTGGTGCCAAAAGAAATATGAAGGGGTCATACAACAAGGTTATCAGCTGAAGTTTTAACAAATTGTCGCTTTCAATTTCGGGTAAACTTACAAGTCTGTCAATTGAAATGGCAGGTAAAGGTACAGCAATAAACATGTATGTAGAAGCAGGAAATAGCAGCCTAGGTTTGAACCCTGATAGAGAAGTCGTTGCCTCAGCAACAGCTAATTGTCTCAGTTTCTGTAGTCTTCATAAATTTGGTTTTGGAATGAAAAATCATTTCTCGGGAATTTTTACTCTTTTGACTAGACGTCCAGCTGGCAAGTGGTTTCCTTGGAAAAAGGTTCTGACACAGACAAGTGGACGCCCGCAACGAGAAGTACTGAAGAATTTCTAGAACTTACTAAACAAGGGTATAACGCTTCGAAAGTCAGATTTCACATAAATAAAGTCCAAAGTAATTGTTTTCTGAAAGATGCAACCGCTATCAAAAAGAATTCTAAATCAAACACTTCCGAATAACTTGCTGTGTTCAAGATTCGGTTCTATTTCTTGTGAACGATAGGAAGTGTAATACAACTTATATTTTACCAGTGCATTTGATAAAAGATACAGCGGAATAAGAAAATATGATTATAAAACATCGAGATTACATATTCGTCAGTTACAATGCTGTTTCAAAACATGGAAGATGACCTCATCCTGAACCATCGATAGCAACAAGAGGACCATTTGTATAGTGCGCACTCCGCAATGTAACTGCAACCATTTAGCATATCCTAATAAAAACTAGCAGATTTTTAGAAGTAAAAGGTTTTGTTTTATTCGCACGAGATATTTACGGAATCTTGTGACCAACATTCTTCATGAGCCTTCTGATTAACATGTATATTAAATGGTGTCGAAGTACTGCAAAGTTATTAACATTTTAACCCCTGTAGAAGTACTGCAAAGTTATTGATAACAATATAATTCTACAAATCAAAGCTTACCGATGAAAATATAAAGAAGTAAACAAGTATTGTAGGAAGAAGAAAAAGTAGTATGATGAAAAATAAAGTAGCTATGAACAGCTGTCTCGCGTCCAATTTTACTGAATCAACCCTTTCACGTAATGGATTATACTTTCGTCCACGAAATAATCTCCAAAGTGATTTTATTGACATCATTGATATTGTGGCTAACCTGGAAGAACTCTTGGGTGGGAATAAAGTAATACAGTTTTTAAGTTCTGACGAAAATGCTCACTTTCAAATACTGTACGAAATAAGGATAGTACTAGCTTGAAAGCGTAAATATGAAAGCAGTATATATGCACGGTAAGTAGCCGAAGGAGATCAGATAAAGCAGCAAAAAAAACGGATACGCCGAAAAAACACGACAAAGATATGAAACCAAATCCAACGTAAACACTTGCCACTGATAAATAAGCTGAAAAGAAGTGTGTAAACTTGCTGAGAAGTCGTACCATCATTTGAACTTAATGATATAATCAGAATTCTTTTTGGAATTCGAATTTCCTTTTGAGATTGCATGTATAAGCATACAAATAGAAAAAGTAAAGTCACTGACCCGAAGTTAATTTTAACTTACTTTGCCATAAATAGATATGGTAGACAAAGAACTGCGATAATATGGCATTCAAATGAGTATTTAATTTCAAGCCAGCAGGATAAGTTGTGAGCCAGTGTATCAGCTAAAATCCAGAAGCATTATTTGAATAATTAGGAATTCCCTGCCCAAGATATTTTCCTCACCAGTTACTGCGCTACTTGAGTGATCTACAGATCTAAATGAAAACACAACCTCCTCTAGATTCGTAATCATCATAGCAAGTCCATCCCAAATATAACCAGAGAAGAAATCGACTTCCGTCAATTCTTTCCAAACGATTACACCAAGTGCAGTGTCCAGGATTTGACGCTGTGTTCTGAAGAATCTTTTATATTGTATGCTGATGTAGCTCACATAGATTAATCCGGAACGTTTGCAAAAAAACCGACCGACATGAACCTTTCCATTTGCATTGCATTCGGGACACAACGGCAGAATACTTTGCAAATGACGAGATTAGAACGGATAATTGATACAACGGGGCAGACATTGTTGCAAACACCGTTTTCGTTCAACAGTACCTTGTTCCGCACAGTTCATTCGCCGCTTCGAATCTTGATTTCTTAAAGCAATCAGAAACAACGAAAAGTCATTACACGATATCAAGACCTCAACCTCCGATAAAAACTAGGAGTATTATGCCAAGCATGTTCCGATAACTACCCAATGTACCCATGTACAATACCAGCGTAGTAACGCTAAGCTGCCAAATTCGTAAACATTAAGTTAAAGCAGTTATACATAAACTATTCATTTCTCAGAAGTAGTCATATTGTAAATCTTATTCAACGCTTATTCTAACTTTTTGCAATTCTTTTTCATATTATTTATCATAAAATATTATTGGAAGTAAAGTTTCACCATTACGAATCAAATTTCTATTTTCTCTTCATTTCGAGAATAATGTCGATAATATTTCCATTCTCTTACAAACAGCAAACAGATCATTGGGAGACTTGTGAACAACAGTCACATATTTACTGAAGGTAATATAATTATTTACGAAAATCTGAGTCACAAGTGGCACAAACATAATTTTTGTTCATAAATTGTAGCATGGGCATAAAACACGTAATTTGTAACTATTATAACTTTATAGAGTTCTTCAACCAACTCGTGTGCTCTCCACCAAACAAACTGAAATGTTTCAGGGTATATACACTTTTACAGATGTGGCATGGGATGAAGAACACTTTTAAACTGCTAGGAAAAAAAATTACAAGTACTAAAAAACAAAAGTAACAATATCTTTGCTCAGAAGGATTACGGTAATTTCCCAACATTCTCCGATTTCGTTTGTTTGTACTGATTCCAGCATTCCAGATGGTAGTGGGCAAGGAAGTTCAAGCATTATTTCCATCCTATCATAAACCATTATACAGCCGCTATCGTACCAATCATGTGACACGTAGAAGTAAGTCTCCCTTGGACCTATAGAATTGAATATTAATTTGAATTGTATATTTCCAATTCAAAATATTTATGAGTATTACGAAAGTATACGCATCCAATAATGATGAATATATAGAATTACAACACTTCTGTATTCAAATAGGATCAAGATAATTCGCAGATCTGACACTCAGCAGGAAGACAGCAGATAAAAACTTTATAATGGCAATGACAGATAAGAAATACTAACCTACAAAACCAAGTTTCTTGGACATAGTCTCAAATTTCTGAACTGGGATCCTGATTCAACTTCTGCACAATAATGTCAATATATGGGATACGATGGCGCAGAAAGTACCAGTGAGGTAACTTGGATAGCTAACGGTATCTGTCACATCTATGACGGTGATAAACCCTTAAGGGCAATTAATATCCATCCCAGAAATAACCAACATGCTCCATTAACACATATATCCGAACAATAATAGTAATCTAAAATCAATAAGCGATCTCATTAATTAAAACCCAAACTGGGAAGTGAAAAAAAAAACCTCATAAAATCCAGTAAATTTTTCACTACGTCAAATCACCGATCTTGTAAAGTTGGTAGCAAACCCAAGTGTAAAACAATAGACTTACTTCGGCCGCTTCTACTGAAAAATGCAAATATCAGCGAGGAATTCTGCTGGAAGTGACACTGTTAAAGAAAGATAGCCATGTATAGATAATTTCCTAAAATGGAGCAATGGCTAGTAATAATTCCAAACTTAACACTTAACTCGATCATGAAAAAAATAATCAATGTATTTCGCTGCTAAAGACAACTGTTCTTAGTTTAACTGAGGTAAAAATGGATTTAGCAAAAATACAGAAAAATGAACCTTTCTCAAGGGACTCAAAACACAGCTTGAACATCTTGTCAAATCTAATTTCTCAAGCCCTACAATATGTTACCACAGCACATGAAAGTCTTTTTGCTTTTTTTTTAAACTTAGAAACCTTTTTCCTTGATCGTTCCAAAATCATAGATGATCGTATTTCGTTGGGTCTATCTGCAAAAAACAAAAATTACAGTTGTGTTTACAATTTAGCAAGCACAATCACGAAAGAAAATGAAGTGCACAACCAATTTTTCAGAACTTTTATACGCCAGATAAAGAGTTAGTATGTATCAAGTTTAAGATTCCACGAGGACCACACATCTCTTTCAATTTCGAAAGGAAGTGCAGGCAGATAACCAAATATTGGAAAATATTTGAAGGCTGAACATGATGCAACTCAGCACTTATGCTTCAAAATAAATACATTATAAAAAAAAGAGGTCATTCCAGTCAACCAGATATTTATGTCTGATTAAGATTTATTTTCCAAGAGGGCGGAATTCGAACACGAGCAGCAAATATCCTATATGACATTGAGCACCGTTACGTTTGAGCATGATAAAAAAGGAGCCTTGTGAACAAGTACGACTATATGCAAAGAAGTGCATTTGATCTAGCTGAAAAATCAAAGTATATGTACTGTAGCACGAAACAATGCCATCAAGTCCATAACGTGTAAACAAAAAATTACCATGTGTCACTGAAAAGGAACATTTTTTTAAAAGAACGGAATCAGCTTATTATCGCTTGCCATAGATTCATATGCTCGATTTTCTAGCCTTTCCAAGATGACTAGATTTATATTGCTTAGTATGGATAATCCTAGAGATACTAGCTATATATATGGTTATATATTTTAACTATTTTTGTTTCCAAATTTTTACTGACGAAAGTCTTGCAAATAGCGGTTGCAGCGAATAACAAAATCCTGCAGTAAAAAACAAACTTTAACTGCAAGTACTGACATTGATAGAAAGCTACGAAACATGTGACACACATGCAAATATAGCATCCCAAACAGTTTAACTCCATTCATTTCATCTGGACAAGTTTTCTGAGGATCCGTCTGGGTGTGAACTGAATTTTCCGCTTCATAAATGCGCACCGTTTTAAACTCCTCGAAGAAATTACCATCATTTCAATAGTATATTTACCACTTCCTTTGAAACGGTATGCGCATAATAACTCCATGACTGTGGTCAGAAGCTGAAGTCGTTTTAACGAACCCGGCACGTTAACCAGGATGACTAAGAAAGATGAAAATGGATATCAATATCACGCGTGTATCAATATCAGCACTCCGTACACAGCCACTACGTCCAGAGGACACAGTGTCGACATTTATTTCAGCCCATTTTGTTTATTTCCTTCATTTCACTACAGCAAAACACGACCTGTGAGACACGGACATACGTGTCTGCCATATTACACTGGAATCTAAACTTTTGTTAAATATCTGCAGATTCCTTTTGCAAGTGGAAATATCTACAACCAATAATTTCACCGCGAACTCTCAGAAACTCGTCGAACCATTTCAACTTCGACATCTCTTTATGGAACACCACTTCTTATCCACTACACCAATAACAACGTTTAATTAATCAGTCCAAACCTGCTTACGAAACACTCCTTTACAGGACATAACACAAGACACCAAGATTCCCTCGTTCAAGGGAATAACTGCAATTCAAGACCCAATCACGGAGGGAATTCAAGAGTTACCAGCACTTTTCAGTACTAGTTATAGGACAGATTGCTCCAGTGTAACGCACATGCAACCCTTTGATAATGATCTTAATGAAAGAAAAACGGCAATACAGAAACCAAACCCCACAAAAACTAATAACGTTGACTTCGCAAAGAATGGAAAAAAGAAATCCTACATCCGATATACTCTTCATCGGTACTGTGGGCCACTGCCCAATACTTTAGTATAATCTGATATCGTACGCTTATTTCATATTTCAACATGCTGTGTTGCGTTCCAGAGCATTAGTAACTTTCTGTTTGTGTAACTGTGATGGCTAGGAGAATTAAGAACATCGAACGCCTAAAGAATAAGGTAAAACGATTGAGATTTTCTCATTTAACTAATGAATATACAAAGGAACCTTTATAAGTTCCACTATTATCATTTACATCCACAAATTCGACTTTGTAAAACAATTTATCACCCTACTTCAGCAGATTCTATTAAAATTAATTTTGCACACGAAAGTTAATAAGTCATAAGAAATATATCGTTATCGAAAAAAAACCTAACTGATAATTGCACATGAAGGAAAAAATCTATTCATAATATAATCAGTGGATCGCAAGAACACTCAAAAACATGCTCTATAATTTTCCGGCTGCTTCCAGCTTTTTGCGTAAGGAAAGTGGCATTTCTGGTGGTGGTGGACGTGGCAATTTAAAGTACACTTTCACGGAATCATAGATGAACCACTGTAATGCCGTAAGCGTTCCTATCATTATAATGCGAGGAAAAAGACCTTTCCAGAGACCTGCAAATATGACTGATTTTCCATTTAGTTTAGAGAATGCCAATAACTTCAGCCAGACTCTCATTTAATCAAGTAACTTTAAACAAGTTTTAAAAACCATCTAACAACCTCCAATGAATCCAGAACACTTTTAAACTTACCCATGAAGCCCAGTTTTCTAGCGACTGCACTCGCAGAAGAGCCAGAGTCTTGGTTAAGTTTGCTAACAATTGTATCCGCAGGATGAGAAACAATGGCGCAGAACACACCAGCAATATATCCTGCGACGAACGTGACTACCAACTGTTCTTGTTTCGTGCATTCGGAACGTGGTTTTGGTACCACATACCTGTATAATGCTTCCAATGTGCGTTCGAAACAGGCAAATTTCATCATGGTGTAAGGTATCTGGCGCATCCAAAGTGGTGGCAGACCTGAAAACTAATCGTTGTTTGACGTAAAAGTATACTACGATTTGCACAAAAAAACCTTTCACTTCAGTTCTTTTTATCGCCGTCTTTCGTAAAATCGTATATATGATCCATCTTGGCAAATATCATCATCTTACGAAATCAATTGATACAATCACTTGCCTTTGTAGAAGCCTGTCATCCCTTCATTTCTGTATATCATTGGTGCACAACCACGAAGCGTTGGTGGAGCCCCTGGAGATGTCTGCACGCGGACCTTCGTAGCTTCCATTGGTGCCAATAAAATGTCGGCGAAAAATTCTGCAGATGCAGAAGCAGCCAAATACAAACTTGTACGCCACTGATACGACAATTCCTAAAGCAGCAATACATTAATATTACCAGGAAGCTTCCCGAAAAAGATGTCTTAAAATTCCCAAAAAGAAAAGACAAAAACCATTCTGAAATCAGTAAAAATATCAATTTGAAAAATGAAACAAAATTAATCCCAATCGAAGAGATCTAATGTGGAGCATGGTACAATAACGAAGAAAACCAACGCTGGAGGAATCGCTGGAGAAAACCAACGAAAAACCATACCTCACCAAGCATGTCACTATAGAAGATTTTAAACATCTCGTAAAAACCGAATTTTCCGAGTCCCTGGAGCGAATAACCAACTAATGTTGGTGCCCATCCCTTCCCCAAAGCACGAAAGCCTTCTTCTCTTATTGTAGTTCGGAAGCCTTGAATAATTCCTTTGTACTTTTCCGGATTCACCTGGAAAAAAACATCAATTTAATACGAAACCAATTACACAAACTTAAAAGAAAATAAAGAAATTCTATATTTTTTGTGCATCATTGAAATACGATACCTGTATTCGACATTTGATAAGATCAAGTGGGACGATAGCCGTATGTGTAGTACCACATGAGATTACTCCGCCCACACCACATAAGAGGAAATACTTAAGAGAACCAAATTCCACTTCCTCATCAGATTTACCTGCAAGTTGGAAGCAATTACATAGTCGAGAAACACAGGAGGAACAAGAAGTTATAGCAACTCATATTCTATGCAGATTTCAAGAATCGAATGTTAGGGTGCTGAAAAAAAAAAAGATTCAGATGTGTAGAAAGAATTAAAAAGCTTCCGAACAATATTGAAAAAAGAAATTGCAAAGGTCAAACGCTCAAAACATGTTTTTCATAGCTCAGTGCAGGCACTGCGGATGAAAAAGAAGAAACCGCTTATAGCATTATCTAACATCGGACGGATGGTCACCGGCATATCATAGTTGTACAGCAATTGTACGACACCATCTAACAGTGATGGAAACGAAGTTTTCACCACTTTTTTTTGGAATAAAAAGGTCAGCACTTAATGTAGTATAACTTTTGAGTCAACATTAACGTGCACTTGTCTAGTCACAGTGCAAAAAAGCAACGACTGGTTTTCCTAAATTTTGTATGTCTTCCACTCGGAACACCATACACTATTGTTCATAGTGGCAAGCGCAACAAAGCATCAGTTTGAAATGAACTGAGAAGAGCTCAGAATAAAAGACTGGAGATATCAACAAATACAATTTGGTTGAATAGCAACCGAAAAAACATGTCAGTCACGGCAAACAAGGTCTTGTTGCAACAGCAGCATTGACCTACTGGGAATATATAAAAAAGGAGCACGTATGTAGATGTACGTTACAATGCAACCAAAATGACTGAAGCAGTGACAAATTATACTTTAAATTAAAAAGGAAAAGTATGTGCTGCATAACCATTCTACCAACATTCCGTAAGCAAAGCATGCACATATCGTAGTGCACTGTTTCGTTTTCTGAGTTCCCAACCACTGTTATTAACACAAGACAATTACGCTCACAGTACTATCTTGTCTCGTCCAATATTACCTACAGTGCCATTCATATCCCCATAGCTTCACTGCTCCAAGCTTGTGGTAGTAACAGTCTCGACTGCACTTCGTACATTGCTACCCGTATAAAATTTATGAAGCAAAATATTAATAGTTTTCTTTGGAATAAAGGAGAATTGCTAGCAAAAATGCATACCAAAGCCTCCATCCACAGATGAACAAAATAGATTGCGTAATGGCAAATACTGAAATAGCGAGGATCTAACTCTGGGTGACTGATCCACGAAATCGCTATCATTAGACAGTGCCATTTATACCTAGAAAACTGCATTGAAGGTTTGATCGAATTAAAGAGAATGGTTTGATAATGAATATCGTAACCAATAAGCATTCAAGAATTAAGTGTAGAACATTCAATTCAGAAAAAAAAATTCAAGAAAAAAAAATCTTGATCTACGACCTCATATCATATGGAATCATACTTATTCCCAGAAAAATACTGTCCTAAACAGATTGAGGATCCTGTCTAAAACCCGTCAAAATTTTTACTATTTTATTTTCCAAGTTTGTAAGGTACCGTCAAACCCATTCAAAAGATTAAAAGAAAGTTCAAAAAAATGGAGCCACAGTGACTAAAAATGAGTTTAAAATCAGTTAAATTTCGTTAGAACACCAGTAAGAAAACAGGATAAGAAGACCACGCTCCAACCCAAATACCGAGGGCTAACAGGCAATAAGCTGTAGTCCCCATCGATTCTCTAATACAGCGCCCTATCTCACCCGAAGAAAGCACCCCATATTCCCACCACCGTACCACCACCCCTACAACTTCATGCCAACACTTCAGGTATCCCACCAGCTCATGAAGCACAATTGTGCAAACAAGTGCTCTCGACGGGTTGGGGTCCGGTCGCAATAACTTTTCTGTTTATCATTATTTCTACTCTGCGATTACAAAGTTTCATTACACTTAGAGAGTGTTTATCCCACCTCGGTTGCATTTGATTTCCAGATTCCGACGTTTTCCTTCCACTTTGTCTTCCTCTTTTTCAATCTCTCTCATCCTCTGCTTCGTCCCTATTCCCCTTTCCCTAAAAAAGGTGCTGACAATTTGCAGGATCATCATTCCCAATTAGTTCGATTTGAAATATCAAGATAAGAGAAAAGCGTCGGTTTTTCGGTATATTTGTTAATCACATTTCCTTAGTTGCGATAGGAACACAGTCCAGTTAATGTTAAAAATCGGTGTATAGGAAGTCAAATACTACCAAATGAGTTCATACCTTCCCTCGGTTCTTCCTTGCGGGATCCATTTTTTCTGCTGAGAATTCGGTAAGATGCTTTGTGATTTTTATAATCCTAAAATACTCCAGTGAGAAAAATGGGATTTTAAATTACTGAGTTTTAGTCTGTCAGTTTTTATCCTTTTAGAGTTAACTTACTCCAAATTACGTCATTGTTCCTTTTTGGACATCAACAGAAAAGTGAAAAAGGTGCATGAAATGATCGTTTTAAACCAATTTTTTTTCATTTCAGATTCGAATTAAGTTTTTTGCTTTGTTTGAGTACAGCACTAATAGTACGCATAGCTATGCGTGAAGATCGATCAAAGGCAATGGCCATATTTGGCAAACACGATTATTTGTTGCGCTTCTGGAACGAGCTTACACCAGGGGAGCGGCAGCAATTAGTTGATCAGTTTACTTTATATAATATGCACGAAATAGACAAAGCATTTAAGGAATCTGCTCTTCCAGTGGTATGTTAGCGATTCCTGGCGTTGTGGATTTTCCATTTTTTAAATCTATTATGATATGCTTTGATTATGAGCATTTGGGACTTTGCAATATGTAAGGGATGGTTTTTTCTTGGAGTGCTGGAGTATCTTGAAGTTTCTAATTCCTTGCAGAAGTTGGAAGGCTTGGAACCAATCACTGGGGATCACTATTCTGTTGCAGATAATATTGATGAAAATATTATGAAGGAATACTGGAATACAGGTACACTGCATTTGACTTTTTTTTACTGTGCGTGTTATCAATTGCTGTTACAGTTATGATAACTGACCCATTCTGGATGGTCCTGCTATCTTTACTGCAACCTTTTTAGTTGCTCAATTTTGAAATTAGTTTGAATGTTCGAAAATGACCAAACATCCGTTGAATATATATTGTTTAATGATGCTTAGGTTTGGAAGCAATAGCAAAGGGAGAAGTTGCTGCTGTAGTTTTGGCAGGTGGTCAAGCAACACGGCTCGGATCAACGGAACCTAAGGGTACCCTTTCCTTGGGATTCACCGATTGCGAAATAACTGATTCACTCTTTGCCCTTCAAGCGGCTCGTATTTCACGTGTGCAAGATCTCGCCCGGGCGGCATTCCCGAATTCAAACCCGAAGATTTGGTGGTATGGTTTTTCTAGAGATGAATTCGCTCATCAGTTTTGATCATTTCGAGACGACTTGTAATTCGAAATGCTCTATCATCACTGTACATACTATGAAAACACACTATAATTCGAAATGTTCTATCACCGGTGTACACACTATACTTCCACACTATGAGCAAACATTTATACGGCTTGTGTCACATCGTTTATGAGTCACTTATACAGGCTTTTGTAGAAAAGTTATTGCTATAAAACAAATAAATTAGGGTTGTGTTGACGAGTTCGGCTACCGCAGAGGGAACACTGAAGCATCTCCGTGATGTGCTTCCAGTAGCTAGTATTGATGCAGGACAGCTTATAGTGCTTTCACAACGATCAATTCCATGCTACGACATAAATGGTGGCTTATTTCTGTCTTCGAAGAGCAGTTTCGAGGTTTCTCCAAGTGAGCATTCTGGTTTTTGCTCCACCGAATACATCATTTATTGCTCCACCTTAAACGTTTAGTGAATCTGATTGAAATATATTTCAGATGGAAATGGTGGCCTTTATGAATGTTTGGAAGCTCATTGCACTTCTTCTATAAATAATCAAATCAAGTACTTTCATGTTTATGGTGTTGACAACGTGTTGTGTCGTGTGGCAGATCCCCATTTTATCGGATATTGTATCAAGAAAAATGTAGACTGTGCCGCAAAAGTAAGAATATTGAACTTATGATTGCAGTTTGACTATCCTAACTATTGATTTAAGCAAATGAATTGAATGGATAGTTTTTTCCTTAATGACAATAGCACTGCGCTCCAAATGATTATTAGTTTTGTTGGTAATAGTTAAATAGTTAAAAATTCTATGAATTTCATTCGAAACACTGCATAAGTAAAGAGTTAGGTACTTCCTAATATTTATTTGGAGATTTTTAACACTTGGGAAATTAGGATCCGTAGATGGAAATCATTCTAGGTTGTAGAAAAAACCGATCCATTTGAACGAGTTGGTGTTATATGTCAAACATTAAGTGGTGTTCAAGTTGTTGAATACTCGGATCTACCGCTGGAACTAGCTGCGGCTCGAGATAATTCTGGACGCCTCAAATTTCGTTTGGGAAATATTGCAAGTCATTTCTTCACATGCGATTTTGTTCACGCAGGTTTGTGAAGAAGCACTGTTCGACTGACTGGGAAGATAGCTATTGTATATACGTGATGGAAATGCGGATCGTTTTGAAGAAGGTAGTGTAGAAAGTGTGCGTTTGAGATTGTTGTGCTCGACATGCTGTCGTACTTCAATAGCATGAAGAGCGTTGTAACGCAGGACCAGACGATGTGGGTAATAGTGGAATAGGGAAACAAACTTCGTCTACCTTTTCATTTGTCTGCTTATCTAGATTCGTTTTTTGACTAGTTTTAGTTTGGAATCCCCAAATAATTCGAATTACTTTTTATCTTGGGTTCCTCAGACTTAAAAAAAAAAACGAGAATTACTTTTTGAACTTAAATTTGCTTTCATTTGCTGAATTTGCTCAACGTATGAATTTTGTTTTCAGCAGCCAATTTTAAATTACCTCTTCATCGTGCCTTCAAAAAAATTCCATTTATTGATCGAATGACTGGAATCGCAGTGAAACCAGAAACAGAAAATGGTTACAAACTCGAGTTTTTCATTTTCGATGCTTTCAAATGTGCTAAGTAAGTTTCTTTTATATATTATCAGGATTACGAGGACCATCCGGTCATTTGGTACAATAAATTTCTTGAAGGTAATGCAATAGCAAGTTGAAGTGAGCAATACAGCCTTCGTACGTCGTTTGTGTTCTTGGTCATCGATTTATTCCATTCTTCAACCTCCCAGTTATTCTTTTTTCTTGACTCAAACGCATTGTCTTGAACCCCAAAATAAGGCACTACACCCTTAATTTACTTGAGGAAAAGTTTTGGAACGTACTGTCTTGTTTTACCTTAATTGTCACCAAACTGTATTGCAGGATCTTCACACCTTTTGTTATCAGTACTAATCGCTTTTGTTGCCGTAATTTTTCCTTTCGTAGTTCATTACTATGTTTTCATTGATTGCAGAAATTTCCATGTATGGGAAGTTAAACGTTCAGAAGAATTCAGTCCTTTGAAAAATTCAGAAAACATAGGAAAGGACTGTATGAGCACATGCCGCCGTGATTATTACGCTGAATGCAAGCGTTGGCTTGTAAAAGCCAATGTGCCGATTTGCGTCGACCGTCCTATTTTCATTCATCCGCTCTACTCTTACTGTGGAGAGGTAGTTTGTTGCAATTATGCAAATCATTTGTTTCGGGTGTTTAAGACGGTGTTTTTGTTCGATTTATTTGAGCTATTTTGTATGGTTGATTGTTTTTACAATGAGTTACTTATACATGTTTTGGGATGCCTCTCTTTAGCTATCATAAAGCCGTATTGTGCTTGTAGTAGCGCCGTCATTTAAAGGTGGATTTGTGGTTGCATGGGTTTTGTGTTTTGTTGATCTTCTTACTGCATCGAGTCTTGTTGTTTGTTTTTTTCGTGAATTGAGTTTTAAATCGTTTATCCCTTCATCCAACCCCTTTGCAGATTTTTTTTTTTTCCTTTTTCTTTGGCGTTTAATGGAATACAGTTACACTTTTCTTCTTTGTAAGATTATTAAATAATTTTTGTCGTTCACTTGAACTTTTTTTCAGGGGTTGGAAGAATATCGTGAAAAAGGCATAGCTTATGATTTGCTTCCGTAGGCACTCTTTTCGTTTCATGTTATTCGATCTCATCGGCTAACAGCTTCACTTCATTTTTTTCTTTTTCAATGGTTTGGAGTGTCAACTTTCATGTCAAATAAAGACGTTAACTTTTATTTTCATTACTTGTTCTTTATTTTTTTTCAAACTAATTTTGTGATTTGTTTAATACCTTTCATTTTGAAGTTCAAAAACGGCGCTTATGTGTTTTGTGAATATATAGTCATCTTTCATCCAGTCTTTGGGCGCTTAGATTTTAACTTCAGATTATCGTGCTGTTTTTCCGCTTCTTTGTTAACTTTTTCCTTACTTGAACCGTGAAAGTGTGCCATTTATTCTAGAGCATTGTTTTTCGTCACATATGAAACATTCTATGGTCTTTTCTTTACCAACTCCTTTGTGGTTGTAGAAAACATATTTTCTGTAAAAAACATATGCATACGATGCTTTTTAGTTGATTCAGCAATGCAGTAATTGCTAGTTTTGGAAATAAAAAATCGTTTTAAAGATTTCGAAAAAAAGTTCCCTGTCCTAACAAATTACTCTCATCTTTATTTAGGCCTCATCGAGACTTCACCAAGTCATAATCTTTTTATATAACAGTTCAAATTAAGGAAAACTTGTGTTATTGACAGCCAAATCACCATGATTTTAAGTTAAAAGTGGCTTTGTGGTATCATTTAGAAGTTTATTGGCAGCAAATTGTGCTAGACACTTCATGTATCTATTAAGAATGTAGTACGAAATTCCGGATAATTCGTGTATCACACCTACATTGAGCGATGTATCATATATATATTGTTTTTTTTTTTTCAAGATTCCTTCCCAGCTTACATGAATTGTCTGAAGGTCTAGTTTGGCATGGGGAATTTCCCAGTTTATCTTTTGTGTATGGTTGCTCAATTTCTTTTCCAGGAAACTTTGAAGGTCAAAAAGCTAGGTTCAAGTATTAGGAGTTAACATGCTCCATTTTGGGAGAAATATAGTGGCTGAAAAACCTAAAACTTGTTGAAGAGGGAACCGAAGTTTTTTTGAAATGAAAGGCTAAAATTTTTCTTTGAAAATTTATTTAAACCGGAGAGGGAGGTCCTTTGAAACGTTCATTTGCTTTGATATCAAGTTGATATAGTATGAGTATGGTTGGTTTTTCAAGTTTTCGGAATTTTTAAGTTTGTTTTTATGCTTCCAAGTGAAGGGAATATGTTGTTGAAACAAGCTGTAATGGGCTGACAACTGATTTACTCGGATTATGAATCTTAATGAAAAGTTGAACAGGCCATGTTGTATGTTCAAGTGCCCATATGCAAATTAATATGAGTAGTGGGCAGGTCGAGTAGACAATATTGAAGAGTAGAGATCATCAAATCATCTAATGGCTTGCTGCCAAATATTTTCATTACTGTACATGAATTTTACCATGTTTGCTGTTTGAACCCTAGTTTTCAGATGAAGGGTGTACACATGCTTTAAGGCGGTTCGAACAAAAGAATATATCACTGAAAGAAGAGAAAAGAAGGCAAACGTTTTTTATAAACTTCCAATGGGAGGTAATATGGCATAGCAATTATTCTGAGAAGTAACATAGTTTGCAAAAATGAAAATATTTGCGTGAAACACTGTAACAAGCTTTTCATCTATATGAATTGATATTGCCAAAGGTAGTTATTGTAAGCAAAGTTGACAGTTTGCTTTTTTATTCGTAACAAGTCCATTCTTTTTTAGGTGAAGGAAGTGAAGGAGATATATATATATAGTTTTGAACTGAAGTGGTGATGATGTGGCAGGGAACAGTCACTAGTTTGATGTGACGAGCAAAGAGTGTCAATTTGTTGACAAATGCAAAAATGCCAGGTCATTTGGTGTGTTGGTTGAAGTGGTTTTGATATCCGGTGTATACAGAGTCCTTTTGTAGAAATATCTGGGGAATTGAAGCTGAAGGTCGAGAGGTTACAGCTTCAGTATGACGGGGTGGAAAATAGTCACTTAATACCGTATCTATAACATCATCTCCATAAATATTCCATTTTCTATTACTAACCAAATATGCAAACAGTCGATTGCACAAAGAATACCATCCAATATGCAAATGACCGGCATTGCTATCCTTCTTATGAGCTTAACCTTCTCCCTTTTCTTTCCCGCTTTTCCTGAATCCAAAAGTGATACCAAAAATACGACAAAAACAACCTTTAACAATATCAGATTGTAAAATTTTAAGATTTTTTTGATCACTTTACTTTTAATTACTTTTAGTACCCACATCCTAGTTTTGAAACAATCTAATGAGGTGGCAAGCCAGATTTATTGTCCAAATATGAATAATCTCATGATCACATCCTTCATATGTATTTTCCTCACCATTCATCCAAAGTTCAAAATTTCGGACTGATTTTATACTTTGTGAAATTAAAAATTAAAACAATCTTATCTGCTTTACTTTAAATTGAAGTTTATACATTTTACAAAGTTAGAAAATGTGGAATAATGTAATCCTTATCTAGCGGTACTCATCAAGAATTTAGAATGACAATTAACTACAAAGGAAATTTTGAATTTGCTGAAGGATTTCTGATGGAACAGACAAATATATCCAATTGAACTGTTAAAGAAGTGAAGGAACTAAAAGAGTCGTTTGGACGATATTGAACATATGCCCCACATGAGACACTATCGTGGATTACATCATGGAGATAATCCTAGCATTATATATCAGCGGACTTTCCCTCGCCAAATATCAATGCCATATCCACCAGTAAATTATTGTGTTTCATTATAGGTAACACTCAAGTTCACGAAAATCAAAATTTCAAGTCATTTAAAATTTGAACTCTGATTGGAACTAGCTTTAAATTGAACTATTTTATCATTTCCTCACAATCCTTTGCCAAAAGATTCGGAATTGTGATGATACGTCAACACAGCAGGTATAACACATTATACTGGATCAGGGAATGGTCAGAAATTTACCTTCGCCATGGTCCGTTAATGCTGCACGTTTGTTCTCCCTGATCTAAAGTTTAAAGTCTATAAAACATTAATTCATCTGCAAATCGTCAGATAGCTTAACCATAGTCTATTATCCATATATGATGGATTCCAGTTGAAGCTCCGTTAAGATAACTGATTTTATCATATTAGGCAGGAAAAAGTTTCATACTGAAATATTCCTCACTGAAAGCAAATATGTAATTTTCGTAAAGAAATTAAAATTTTTGAAAAACAATAATGTTGAAGTTTTTCATTGTATGTCTTCAATATCACTCATGAGAAACAATATATTTTGAGGTTACGGTTCATTTCAGCTTTTAATATACAGCACTAGTGGTTTACAAAGGATCAAATCTGTTTTCTACTGTAAACGAAAGAGACATTCGGAAAAGAAGTGAAGCCTAATAAACTAATTCAGAATAAATGCATTTCGTTATACCTGTAAGTCTGTTTTTTTGTCTGGATTCAATTTGTTCTCAAACAGTAGTAATGTGAACACTATTGTTCAGTTGTATCATTTTGGTATCGCATAGCAGATTAGCTGAGGACCGTTTTTTCTAATGGTCACATAAAAAAGAAAGCATCTGCCGATCTTATTGTTTGTCGGCATTTTCCAATGCCTGTTATGCATTTGCATGTTCACGTTCATTGCAGTTGACTGGAACTGTTGAATTGTCTTACGATACTTCATTAGAGTCCTTCTACGGCTTTTAGACTGTAATATATTGCTTAATCCAGCCGTATCTCTGCATAATGTAATGGGTAATCTTTGTAAATATGTGCATTTTTCTCAATAATATCATCCACACAAATCTATAATAAATTCATAAAAAATTTTGTAATTTGTTAGTTTTTGAAAACAAGCTTAGTACAATGATTTAAAAACGGAAAAACTGAAATGATTTGATTCAATGCAGTCGGAAGTGAAAAGCATTCTTAACATCTGCAATGATGACATAAAATGAACTCTTCAGTGGTAGTAAGTAGTTCAGGCCAACAGCCAAAAGAGGCAAAGCATTTGGCTTGAATGTTTGAGAGCCTTCTGAAGTGCCTACTTGGATTGCCTCTTTACTGCTCTATTATTGTGTAACTCTTTTAGCAGTACTTGGCACAGGATGCCATATGCATCTCGTCTCTAAGGCAATTCTGGAAGCTGAAGCCAAATTTTCAAAAACCTTTTTCTGGAAAGAATTTAGGCAATATTAAGAGCTCCGTCATTTTCAAAAATTCTAACAAGTAATCTTACTTCTTCCCATATGCTTACGAGGGATACCACAGAGATGAAGCGGGTTTAATTTTGACAAGAGATTTCTAAAATCTTCTTAGTATGAAATTTTGTCTACGGATCTAGACAGAAGTATATGTTGCAGAAATTGTTTCTTCAAGGCGCATATATATGCAAAAAACTTGGCACATCCGAAAATGCATGAAACAATTTGCTGGTAGCTAGTCTTCAACCAGTCAAGATACAAATGAAGGAAAACAAAATATTTGGCATTTTCGAATTTTAAAAACCTGGAAATTAAACTAGCAATTTGGCTGATTGACAGTAGCGTGGCAGTAGTAGTGTTATATACACTGCTCTATCAATTTTAAGCTGTTCAATTGGGCATGAAAGCGATTTTGAACAATGAAGTGCGGCAAATCGCTAATCACCTGCGCCATACTGTTTCCCGTTATTATATATTATATGATGGTGAGGGATATTTTGGGCATCCGCTTACCTGTCTTCTATCAATTCCTTTCCTACCTCTTCCTCGCTTCTCTTCATCGCTTCTTGCAAATAGATTGTTAGATCAAATTTTTCAGTTTTCAAAATTTTTAGATTCCAAGGGAGAATTAATGTCGTAAATCATATTCATAATTTTTTGTTTGTTGAAACGCTGTCCTACTAGCCACTATCCTCTAACAGCTACTATTCTTCAATAATTTGATAATTGCTACATCTTAAGAGATATTTCTTGTCCTAAAATAATTTTACAAAATATTAAATTATGATACTTGATGCTAAGGATAAGGGATAGCAAGAAGATGGCCGCTGGAAAGAGTGATGGCTACCAAGTCAAGTGCGAAGGGCGAACAACCGAGTATGCAACAATGAAGAGATCTCCTAAATAGATTGCGTGCTCGTGGAATATCCAGTGCATGTCAGATACCCTAAATTTGAGTGGGCCTTAACGAACTCCTCTCCACAGTATTATTTCTAGACACTTTCCGGAATTGCTGCCTTCAAAATTACTACATCCTTTCTGGATTATCGGCTTATGTTAAAAACAAACCGCTTTTGCAAGACCGGTCATCCAATAGCAACACAAGTAGGAATTTGATCTAAATGGTTGAAAAGTGTGAATACACGCCCACCGTATCCCGGAGGACTGCCATTACGCCAATCATGAAAAGGATAGTGAAAAGAAGATGAAGAAAGAGAATAAAAGAGAGAAAGGAAAGAGGGAGTGTTCCGGAAGAGACACACCCACACTTATTGTGGCCAGCAATTGTTTGTTAACTTCCCTCCGAACATTAATCGCACTCATTTACTTTTTGCTTTTCGGCATCAAGTCAATCCGTCGACGATCCCTGTCTGCTCCAAGCGATATTTGCCACTTTCATATATGCAAACTTCCGGATCATCCATAAATACATCAAGTATGTTTCTGGTTAATAATAATTCAACATACAATCACAATTCTTGAATAACTTTTGTTTTCAAAAGTTAACTCAATTTTTAAACTTATTGTTGGCGACAAATCATATAAGCAAACATCGAATTGTCTACATTATTATTCCCTTTCCTTTATTTTCCAAAAAAAAAAAAAAAAACCACATTGTTATTCGCTTTATATCTTTCCTTTATTTCCATTACAGTAAATAACTTATGACTATTTCTAATATAGTAACTTCACAAAAATCAGCGCTTATTAAGAGGTAAAAGATGAAATTTAAGAAATTTAAATAATCTGCTAATTTAAGAGCCGGTAAAAAGCTCCATTTTTCTTCGTTGAACGTTTATCCCAGGATAGATTATTCTTTTTAGTTTTCACTAAATTGAGCAGAGAAATTGATAACTGAATAATAGCAAGGTATTATCGTTGCACTTGAGTTTCAAAATTTTTCGAATAGAAATTATTTTTGATCCAGTAATTCTTTTTAAAAAATTTGACCAAAATTTTTATCCAAGTGCTATTCTAATCTTCATAAAGGAAATATTCAACACTAATTCTTGGGTTTTTCAAATTTTGAGGCTTCCCGTTCGTTGCAAAACTCAAACTAATTCTAACTGTAAAACTTTTCAATTATTAACTTTTTGAACTTCAAAAAACATCCTAAATTTATGAATTTTTTCACTTTTTCCGGTCGAAACATCATTTTATGATTTTGTCCATAGATTTCTTCTTGCTTTTGTTTGCATGGGTTTGGTATTTCTATAAATCTATATTTTTCTTTTTTTTTTTTAAAAAAAAAACTAACTGTTCTGTGCACATGGATTAGCATTACAATTTGTATTGCCAAAACGAAGAAAATTTTGCTTTACACTTCTAATTTTCGATTCTAAACAAAAATTTTTCTTTTTATTAGGTTGTGAAATTTGAATTCTAGAGGTAACTTCAGAATTACTAAAAATTACAATGTTAAAACCACAAAAGCGCTGGTTACTTGTTTTGAAGATAGAAGCTATTATGACACTTTATACCCAATACCAGTTCGACAATACAGCTCTTCCTTTTGGCGAATAGTTATAAGTAGTATTGAACATGATGCTATTTCAGTAGATCATTGTTGTGAATTTGAAGTACTTCCTTTTTCAATAACTTTTTCAACATTTCTGTTACTGTAGCTTTAATGTTACCTCCATGCAGTTTGGTGCTCCGAAAGAAGCACAACACTACATTTATTAATACGTGGCGATATTATTCGAGCTTTTTTTATACTTTAGAAATGGTATTTCAAAGCTAATAAAAGTAACGTTTTTAAGGGGACGAATCTATTTTTTGAATTGCATTCTAAAAAATATGTTCAAATCCAAAAAAAAGTTGATTTGAAAATGGTTAGAAATTTTGTAACTATTAACTATATGCAAATGCGACTGGAGTATATAATATGCTCCTGATGTTAAAGTATTAAAAAATGTGATTATTCGGTTCTAGTGCATTACATATATGTCATCACATCTCTACATAGATACAGGGTTAGTAAAACAGTTTGAAATGGGTGATTCATGTTTCAAATGAATATATGTTTAACCAGTATTTGAGTTATAGATTTTGTTAAACTTTTTTCAATTTGCTACATTTGCATTTGCCAGTATTGATGAATATTTTCCTTTTACCTCCATAAGAGACACGCATAGGATATGAATTGCAGTAAAGGTTACATAGGTACAAGGCTTCATTTGAACGTCTGCTAACCTGAGAAGGTGTAAATTTAAGTGCTACTGACTCGATTCATTTTTTATGCAGTTGACTGGTTGGTACAATTCAATTTCCGGCGAAATTCGCCCGCGTAGTTAATGATAGTAATCCGGAAAAAGTATATTACATATGCATAGGCCAATACAATCTGTTCAAACTTTCAATACTAGGACTTTTTGTTTATGCAGCAAAAACTGCGCTACTTCTATACTTGCACCGTGGTCCTAAATAGTTATTTTTGACATGATCCCTTCATCCTCAAAATACTTAACTTTCAAAATATACTATTGTATAATTAAATCTATGTACTATTTAATTACTTATTTTTGAAATTAAACATCAAAGCATTGTTATCAGAAATCAGCAAAAATAACAGGTGTGGCAACACATCACGTATAGGTACATCAGATATGAAATAATTGAGTTATACGCCTAGTAAAGCAAAAGGTAAGTCACTAAGTTTATGAGTTGTAAATTTAAATAACCTCACTGGTTATTTGTGGTGTTGAAATGATATTACATGACAAGTGTCTTGTGTTATAATCTTTCTTGGGTTACGACCCAAAAAATAATGTGGCATGTGGTATAAGCAAAATTCAGAGAACAAATATAGATTGATGAGAAATGTAGCTACTCAGACAGAGTTATAGGATACGACGTGAGAGGGCGGGTAGGGGAGGGTTTAATGGTAAGGTGAATTCAAGTGAAAAGACCACCTAATGAGCGGCTAAATATGAAAAGTATCTTCTGTTTTTATATATTGTGGGCATAAATTGATGTTCACAGAGATTTAATGCTTTAGTAAATTTCGAGTCAGAGAATATCATTTAATGATGATAAAAGGAACGAATTTTAAACCATACTAATAATACTCCGAAACGAATTCATCTCATTTCAACTTACAATAAATTTTTGAAAACTTGGGAATTTCTTCATTTCCTAAATATTTTTTAGAAAAGTTGCTTTTTGCGCGATTTTTAAAGAAATCGAATATTTCTAAAATAACTAACGTCTTTATTTCATGATTAATCCGCTTCGATCTTTTTAAATCACATCATTGATCGTTTAAAAAAAAGAAAAGAAAAACACGTGAAGAATTCCACCTCTCTACATCCATCATTTTGCTAGAAATTCATGAAATGTACTGAAAAAGATTGATGTTGGCTAATGAAATGACTGACATTAATATCTCAAGCACTGATTATGTTAAATTGTAAACTTAAAAAAAAAAAAAAACAAAAGTTTAGAAATATAAGACAAGAGTGTTGCGAAGATTGTTGAATAAATAATTATTGTGAAATGATCGGTGGATGAATACTTTGTGTAGATATATCTTTTGACTAGCATTGAAGCAAATATATATTTTATCCCAGCAGAAGATTGGAGCATTGCCTCGGGTGCTTTTCCACATTATTACTTATCGTCCTCTAACATTTTATCCAGAAAATGATTCTCCACTTCTTATATTCTACCGTATCACACACACAAACAGGCACGCATACACAGACTCATAAAACTCTTTAAAATCTATTGAAACTTTCGAGCAACGGTGTAAAATATAAATAGTTCACAATTGCGAAATTTCAAAAATAGCATTTTTGTTCACTACTGTCCAACGAGTGGCTTTTCCATATTTAACTTAGAAGACTTAGTTCTATAAACTATTTTAAAAAGCAAATTTTGCTATAAAATTTCTATTCTGGCTGTAATAAGAAAACATGGAGCGGTGGCATAAACATATTATTTCTCATCATGGTTATCCATGCTAATTAAAAATGGAATTATTTTGAAATTAGTTCGAGAATTGGTTGAGGTTTTTTAAAACAATATCTAAATTATTTCAGTTGAAACAGTCTTCCAGGTCGTATATTGTTGGACGTGCCTTGCCGGGTATGTCAGGATCATTCATCTGGGAAACATTATGGAATATTTAGTTGTGATGGATGTGCTGGATTTTTAAGGTTTTACATTTCGTGCAAATTTTATTTCTTTGCTGATATTTTGGGATTTCCTGATAATCTTTTAGGTAATTTCATAAGTATTTGAACAATTATTAAAGAATTTTAATTCGCTGAACTGCAGCGTTCCATCCGACGGCATCGTCAATATGTGTGCAAAAACCGAGGTGGTGGTGAAGAGGGTAAATGTTTAGTGGATAAAACACATCGTAACCAATGTCGAGCATGTCGTCTAACGAAATGTTTGGAAATAGGCATGAACAAAGAAGCAGTACAACATGAAAGAGGCCCAAGAAATTCAACCATGCGAAGGCATATCATTTTTTATTCGTCACCATCCTCCGCTGGAGAACGATCGGTAAATCTTACTTATTAACTTCTATAATATTTCATTTGATGACTTCACTATTCGCTTACATATTCTCCTAAATTTAATTGCTTTACCCTTTTTTTTTGGCTTCGTTTTTTAAATGGAACAGTTGTCCATATATATATAAATACATTGAAACTATCAAAGAGAAAAAGACTTGAAAAGCTTCTTTTGCAGCCAGAATTTGGATCCGAATCAGATTCCTCCGTATCATGTACAATTAGTGAGATATCATCAACAACAAAAGATGCTGCAACTCGTTTATTTTTCCAGATTTTACATTGGTCCAAATCGTTAATTGCTTTCGCTTGCTTATCCCCTCAAGAACAAGTACCAATCTTTTTTTATAAAAAAAAGGTAATTGGGGATATAATATGAAAGCTGCTTTATTCTTCGTCATTCATCCACTTACTCATTTCTCAACCTTTTTCACCTGAAGCTTTCATACTGCAAAGTACTATAAAAATAGATGAACTGGTGCATGATGCATACCAATTTTTCTTGCGGGAACTTTTCACAAGTCTTTCTGGAAAGGTCACTATCGAAATTCATTTATTTTTCCAAAATTGACATTGATCCAGTCGTCGATCTTCATAGCACGACAACTATGGCAGAAGCAGTAAAAAACAGTGAAAAGCATAGTATCTGTAGCAGAACGCTTCAATCCTTGATGGTATAAGAAAAACTAAGTCTAAATCATTTGTCACTTCTGCCATAAACCGTTCGATCAGTATGGAACTTCAAAATCGTTTGACAATTACATAAGTATTAAATCTTACTACTCTCAAAATAAGTCACTGAGGTCAAAAATTCGAAGGGTTATGCAATTGTTGCTTTAGTAATCACTCTCATACGATTTAACTTATAACTTCTTCTTCTGCAAATCATTTATGTTAATTTAGATTTAACTTTGTTTAACACAACTAGATGTGTCCTTCATTTTAGGTAGCAGCATTTACATCCTCATGGGGTGTACTCTTTCTGCTCTCTGCTGTGGAAAACCGCTTCCTTCAAAGTAGTGTCCTGGCAAACGAGCGGACAATCAATATCCAAATGAAGATGAAGCTTTTATCAGCAGTAAGTCAGTTGGAACAGCTAAGGTTGGATTCCACGGAATATAATCAATTACGTCTTCTAAGTCTTATCAAAGGTATTAATTTCACGCATAATTTCAGCAGAGAAAAGGGAGGGATAAACGGAAGGGACCATTGGAGCTCGAAAGTAAAAATGGCCTATCAAGGTTTCAGTTATATCATTTTTAATTAGGTTCTCCAACTTGAAACATTTATCGCCTATTGTTTTAGAATAAGTATACACAACGTCCACAAATTTCAGGACGCAATCCGCAAATGGAACAATGGACAGCATTTAACTTCGCGCAACACCAACAAATCACTTATCCATGCCAACCGCTGCGATACATTTCCTGCATGGTACTCTTGGAAACGATGCCACAATTCGAGACAATTCTTTCCGAGCTTTATTTCAAGCAATCGATTGGTAATGCATCGATGTCTGCGCTGGTTGCTGACGTTTTATTGCCAAAGGAGGTGCGGTCGCAAAGGATTCTACCAAATCAGTGACTTCTGTGTTGCAACAAGGCAGTGAGATCTTGTTGTCAGCTTGAGTGCTTCCTTTCCTTCTTGCTGTATTTTCCGGATTATCAACTAGGAATATCAGCTAGAACCATGGAATTGTATTGAAAAAAAACGGGTTTAAGACTTCATTATTTCATGTGAGAGAAAGAGAATTAGTTTTCTTCTTCAAATCAAAACGTTCTGATGTGAATTTTATCGGTATAATGGAGTAAACTGTTGTTTACTAGCATGATCAAGTTGTAAAATATGTTGTTTATTGCGTCAATATCATATTTGCAATGGGCAGAAGCGTTAGAAATGTTCCCACCACTCATTTTTATATGTCTTTTGGAGGTGGTACACTGGATAGGAACATATCGTACACATTCTGAAACAATTTCACCTCTCCGTTTAATCATCTTTGGTCAGGTACTGGTACCTGGTCTTAACCCATACATCGGTATAACAGTGTTTTCTCGGTTATTTTTCTTTGAAGTTTGCAGAAGTTTGTTTAGCTGTACCTCAACATCATCCGGGTGTAGCCGCTTCTGCTACCAACAAGGTGCTCACTTCCGGTGTTTTGCAGGAGATATTTGCTGCACTCTGTCCCAGTTTGGTATTAGTTCGGTGATTTGGCATTGTATATTATTTGTTTTCTTTTTTTTTCCAAAATACATGATCTTTGGAATGAAATGTTTTTTATTTTCTTAAAAAGATACAGCAAATATTCTTTGTATTACAACACATTAACGAAAACGTTCATTCAAAAAGGCATAGGTCATCAAACCGTCCGTTTGGTGCGTAAGATTGGTCATATGTGCTCATACACAGCATGTAAATTGTTCGCTGCCCTTAGAAGAGATTCATAGTTGTGTTAAATTTACTGTCGGAGCTTCTTACATAGAAATATTATAATGCTAAGAAACACAATTCACCGTATCATTCTTACTCTTCATTACCTGTTTTTTTTTTTTTTGCGCAGCGTGAAGATGAGCAAGTGATTAATTTTAATAAGAAAGCACAATAACCAGTGCAGAAAAAACTAATCCCTGATAAGCTAAGAAAGTTCTTAAGAGAAATGAGCTTTCTGCTGATATCAGTGTTACGATGATATGATGCCGATTGGTTGATTAACTGTCCTAATCTGTTTATTGTTAACTATAAAATTGAATGTGTGGAAAATTTGGCATTAAATACTCTTCGTTTCGTCTGAAGATCTTTTAAAACTACTTAGACGTCCTTTGTACAAAGCAAAAAATATGGGAAAGATAATTGGATTCTAATAAATGTTACTGTCATACAGCAAAGTTAATCACTTAGAGCCACAGCTGCTCATTGTATTTGGCTTGGAAAGGATAATCATAAGACTATTGCAGTTCACAGTTCAATACGGAACTCCGTGTCTTTCCGCGAAAATATTTACAGTGCAATAGACTCACAGCGGGTGACATTGTTAACGCACATTCTCTGCACAATTAATCTTCATTCTGCTATGTTCTTCTCCCAAATATCAATCATTTTCCAATTATCAAAAGTACATTAAATATTTTGGCCGATTTGCTACAAAAATATTGCAGCAAAACGAAAGATCACACAACATAGCTTATCTTTTTCACTGAACAACTTTGGGAAAGGTGGGGGGAGGGAGAGGAGGGCTTTAGGAAAAAGAACTGTAAAGGAGGGGATAGTTTAGCATTGAATTACAGCATACCATTTGTTGCTAGTGGGTAGATATTGGAAAACAAAATAAGGGATTTACGAATTTGTAAGGTATAAGGACATATTACTTGGAATTTCAGGAACAAATCTTTATGAGCAGCAAATCGATTAACTCCTTACAGTACCTCAAGGGATTTCTTTGCAGCATGGAGTAATACGGAAGAGAGCGAACTTTCTCGAAGGGTGCCGACAAGTCTAGGAAATACGTTACGTATCAATAACTCAGGTAATCGGATGAGTGGAAAACAAAGGATGCTATTGAAACATGCGAAGAATTGGTAATCCTGATTCTTTCCTGAAGTGCTATGAGTACCAAAGAACAAAAAAGTGGGACTTACCGAAAGCAACCACTTATTTACAGTGCATCCAGTGATTTATTTCTTTATAGGATTGAAACAATTTATTGACGTTAATGCAGAACTTAATGCTTTTACGTACGTTTGCCGACTTTCTATGCATAAATACAAAAGAGATTGTTAGTTATTTACCCCTCGAAACTTTATACAAATTTATATCTCAAATGCAACTAAAAGTTGAATGGTTTAGAAAGAAATGTTTACATGCTGAACAAGCAAGAAACATCTAACATCCATATACTGTATTTCCATGCATTTCGACATAGAGAATAAACATATTGACCTTTTGCAATTCTTACTTTAAAGAAGCAGATATTCAAGATCACAACTACTAGCTATTGCACTTTCATTATTGGTGGTGATATCTAATACAACATCTTACTGCACCTAGGATAAGGATCACACATTACTGATATGATGGCACCTACTAGAATCAATTATTTATCTCTTTAATATGTCTCAGTCGACAACACAATGTTATTAATATCCGTTAAGTTAAATAGCTTGAATTGTAGCTTGATTCTTATGTTATTGCACTAAAACCATATTTTCTTTGGAAACTTCGCCATTTTGACAGCATGTTCGCCAAACTTCCCCATTTTGATGCCATTTTGACACCATCTTCTTTGTCATCACCATGTTACCAGAGAATCAACTTTTTTCAATCTTGAAACAACTCTAAGCCTACCAATTAAACGATAATTAAAGGTTGTGTATGTCACGCATGCAATATATATATGATTTTGAAATATTCCGGATGAATAAATAAACAAGAATTACCATTATAATTAAGAAAAGCAAATAGCCTTGAACAAATTGAACCCAACTGTAATTATCCGGTGTATTTTTTCCAAATTATTTTAATTGGATTGTTGCGCTTTAATCATAACCGTACTACACTTAAAATACAATATCATATTAATACTAAATTTCACAAGTCAGTTAAACAAGGCATAAATCTACGTTAGAAAATCAACAATCCACGGAAACTGGCTATTCAGGCATTCGAAAACTCCAAAAACTTGTCATATGGAAATTACCACTCTTGTGATCCTTTTCTAAAAATTTATAAGCTGTTCCTCAAACTCAGATGGTATATTTAAGTTGCAAACTAAAACTTAAGCTTTTGAAAAATAGCAAAAAACTGACTGCTTTTACAATGAAATCAGATCATATTAAAGTATTTGAGGGTATCAGTGATTAGAACACCGCCAAAAACGAGATTCGAAAAGCAATATATAAACATAATTTGGGTTCATATAAACAAAATGATTTCTCTAAAGTGCAAAAAAATGCGGCAAATGCATCAAAAAATTATGCATATAGTGAATGAAACTCGAAAAGAAATTCAAATCAGGTTCAAAAAAATTTGGCGGATTTAAACTTTCAATAACACTCTTTAGATCTGTATTGATGTTTTTTTTTTCTCGACGACAAGGATATTTAATTATGAATATAATTTTTAACATATATAAAACACATATCAGTGCAATGTCATTCCACATATAAATGCATTCTGCATGCATCAAACTGGTATGTAATCAGAAATCACTATCCTTCATAAATGTGAATAGCATTTGATACAAAGTTTATAAATTTTACCAAAAGAAATTTTACAATTTTAGTCAGCAAATTTCATAGTAACCATAATCAATATGCAGAAGTTTTCGTTAGATGAGCTCATCATCTAAGAAACGCAATGCTCTTCAACAACGTTTCAGAGTAGGTATTTTGTTCGTAGAATTCTTTTTTTTTTAAGTATAAGAACCTTCCTTTAATTTCAAAACATTAAGAAGCATTACGATTCAAAAAACAAATTTAGATAACATCACTGGATTTTCCTTTACTTTTTTATTATTAGGGGGAAAAAAAATTATAGTGCCTATCGATAAGTGTTGTGACGATGTCGCGCAAGTTGCTCGAAGGGAATACAAATTTTCGTTTGAATATTTTACCAGCAGAATTTCCTTTTGTTTAAATATGCAGTTACCACGCTTTTACAATCATCTTGTTGTCTTGCGCAATTCAAAAATTTTGCAAAACTAAACGATCAACGCAACGAAAGTGGTAATTTCAACTTTAATAAGAAACTGCATGCTTTTCACTTCTAAGTTTATTACAGTTATCATGCATAATCTGATGTTGATGTGGAAAAAATGAAACATCCTTAACAACTACATTATAATGTTTGGTTTATAAACAGGAAGTTAATGAGATCACCAGCGAGACGGAAAGATTCATCTGTGCGTTACCGTGAAATTGGATCGCTGCGAAAAGCATAAGGAAGAGATAGTGTTACTCGACGTGACAAAATTCTAAGCTAGTCAAGGTATTCAGGCTGAGACAATATTATCAGAAGCAAAGAGAGTTAACAAACTCTGAAGCATATTTGAAGACTATGAGATCAATAAATTTTCAAAAAAAAAGAACTTATTGGGTAGAAATAAGTTTCTTTCAAATATATTACATGTCATTTTTTCCCAAATATATTATATCAGTATGTTATAAGATCGTAATGAATCATATGATAAAGTTGATTGCAGAAAAATATTGTAGGAGCATACTAAAATACAGTGACTTTAAACTCTCAAGAAAATGCATAACTTTGAAAGAAATTAAAATTCCTAAATTGCAATTTTTGCTTTTAAAAATTTTTAATTTTTTAAAAAAAAATTTTTTGCCCGGGAATACTCTGAAACCACGCATTTTTTTAATATATATGTTTAATACGATAAAGAGGGATTGCGAAGAGGTGGACATGTCACTGAGGGATGATTTGTTAAGAATTAACTGTTCATTGTTGACAACACACCTGCAAGTAACTATTCATCCAGTCTCATTCATTTATCGGTTAAAACCTTTTTTTTTTTTCAACTACACCTCCAAATTGAATAACGTCAGTGCTGTTCCAACATATAAATAAATATAGCCACAGATACATAGGTGCATATAGATGTACAGATGTGGATACAAGCATAGGTATTGACGCAGATACACACTCCACAATTACAATATTTTTTGTCCGGGAATACTCTGGAGCCACACACTTTTTCAATCGGTGCTATATGCCATTGCAAATGATAAAAGCAAATCTTGTCAGAAATTGCCAGTAGCAATTTGAATAATTGTCTTAGCTTAAAGATGTCGGAATATATGAGGAAGGCCGTTTCCTCCACAAGGACGCTGTTAGAATCACGTCATTTGACGTTAAGCAATTTCCTTACTTTAAGCTCATAAAGATGATTATCACGTGCTCTTACCCGTAACACTGGCAGATTACTTACTTAAACAATTATGCATAATTCACTCACCACAGCTGTTCGCAATTCTTAACTTATTCCGTGTTAAATATAGCAGGTGAAATGAATTTCATCGTTCACTTTATGTACTTTTCTTCAAATTAATTTTAATTACATCGATGTTTCTCAAGACATAGAATAACTTGAAAAATAAGATGCCTTTTGTATCTTTCCTGTCAGTTATTTTGTACGAGGAACATTTATCAGTATGGAACAAAAAAGAGCCAACACCCTGATAAAAGCATCTTATAAATGAAGTTAAATGTATAACGCATAATCTGAAAGCCGAAGATTTTTTGATTAGTTAGGCTTCTTGATAAATGCACACTGAAAACGAGCCGAATTCTCTTGTCATCACTTTCTTGAACTGGAATTTCTCCACTTTTCGAAATTTCGAAAATTTTATAATTGATACACATTAGCTCGTTCGTTCTTTGGAATTTTGAAATCGGCTTTCGTCGGATCTGTCTTTTATGGAATTTAATAGATAAAGAGAGGAAGAAAATGCCTTTAAAATTCTCTTAATGAGGACTTCTCTCTCTTTATTTGCAAACATCCAAAATCCGAAAGGAAATGAAAGTTTTAGCCGAAAATGCATAATTTTTCTCATTATTCTCTTCCTGTATAAGAAGCCCATGTTTTTATTCGAATAATACGTAATAGTTCAAAATGTAATATGTTAAATGACAAATCAATCATGAGATAAAGAAGGACTGGAAAGGAGTGAAATCAGTCATCTGTGTCAAGAAGATGAAATAGCGCACGAGAAGGATGTATGTGTAAGACAAAAATGAACACTCCGAAAAGCAAGAAATGTTTGGGGTAATATGAAAGATATGCAATTTATCCGAATTCTCATTTGTTTTTCTTTTTTTTCCAAATCTCGCTTTTCTTACTTTCAGTAATCCAGCGTTCGGCATGTACGTATTTGTATTTAGCATAAAATGATCGCGTCGCTTACACGATCTGTCAAATGCTTGGGACCGCGGTTTTGATATGTTTACTGAAGTTTCTCTAATATAGTTATTACTTTTGTTTTTTGTCAATTTGTATTTGATGCGTAACAAACTTTTGCTGCATACGGTAGGGTGTATGTGTATATGTGCAAGTGTTAGTTTACGTGTATGTGTATGTACGCATATGCAAGTATACCATTGGGTCATGGAAAAGCAAAGGAAAAGGAAAAATAGAGGAAGATGAAACGGGGAGCAATCCATTCCGTTCCAAGGAAAATCAATCAGCCACTGTTTTCCATTCTCCAATACAAGTCTCCGAATCATCCATCCCGCTGCACAATCGTCGCGAGCAAAATGTCCCAATAGTGTATACTACATGTGCGATATGTGCATTATTTATACGTGAAGTCTGTTTCTCGTTTGTTTTTCCACACCGTTCCAAAACAGATTGCACTACAACTTGCTGCTTTTTCCGTCAACAGTTAAATTGTTAATAAAACTAGGTTCGCCACTTTCAGACCATCATCATCCCAACCAACACTCTGTTACTGTTTATTTGTTACCTTTAGAAAAAATCAACTTGACTCGAGTTTTTAATCTCACATATTTCTTTCAAGTCAAACCTCATCAAAGAATGGGCATCTCAACAGTAGGGTCGTCGACCTAACGATCTCTGCAAGACCTATCGCATTCATTTTATCCAACAATCAAGCAGTTAGTTCAGGTGCTAGAACGTCCCTTCTGGTCTAGTAATGTTTCCTTAGCATCAGATTACAGCCACTTGATTAAAACTTTTTACGAGATGTAACCATCCTCCTACAGCGGTAAACTAAAACTAAAAGATATCGTCCTACTAGCATTTCCTGCTTGTTAAATTGATCACTCTACAGTAAGCAGTATATTGAAGTGTACGTCATAGTGATTGACAAATAAGCGAATCAATATGGCTTACGTTTCAGAAATTGCTTACGTATCAAATAATCTGTCACTTGGAACAGAACCATATAACCAAGTCCCGAATAAAAGTCCCGCGATCGCCATAACTTCGAGGTTTCCAATTAGTAGACCCCTTTGACCCCGGAAGACAAATTACAGCGAGAAAGCTATTACTACCGCTCCATTGCCTATGCTGTAATACTCTGGAACGCTACTAGAAACATTTCTAATCTTCGGATTGAAAACGGCCCAACCAAGTCCCTAGCATCTCCAGAGTGAAAGTTTCAGATTTTAAGGTAAGCGAAAAATCAAAAATAGCATGTATGTCTTGCAATAAATTGCTATTCCTCCATTCATGTCTCTTTCCAGTTCTGAACAATCTCTACTGTTAGCTTTCTTCAAGTGCAAACAAGAGATGTGGAATTAATCCTTATCCTCCATTTATTACAACTTCCAAACAGGACTGAAACAGACAAAGAATGGCTTGAACAAAACCATTACCAAAGGCAATTTACACGCAGAAATTTACGTCAGATGTAAAAAATAGAGACTACGGCACAATCAATATAAACCACAACTGGAAAACTATCATTATTAGCCCATTGGACTATTCCTGCTTTCCTTATAAATATTTTTATTGTTCGAAATTATCTCAGACCTCCAGAATCTCTGAAATTTCCGAAAAAGAAACCGCATAAATATGGGAAGAGCGATAACCATTCTACAACTCAGAAAAACTGGTCTACCTTCATAGATTAACCTACAAGCCGAAAACCCAACTATATGAAGGTCGAATCAAAAAGCTTTCAAGTATTTGACGGTGCCATATATCAGCATAAATAGTATCCCCAAATATATATGTTATATGACATTTATATTGTTAAGTTTAACAACATCAACACTAAGAACAACCGGAATGTGATTATGAAAGAGCTGCAATAGATAATTTTCAGGAGCAATGCATATCGCTTGAACTTGAATGAAACTGGGAAAATTCCCTTAATATTCCAAATCTCAGGTGAATTTCTCTCATTTTCATTAACAACATCAAAAAATGTTTGGAGAAAAATAATTTTATACCGAGCAGCTAAAAAATTTTTCCCATATATTCAATGATGAGTGGAGATGGAATGAAAATGTAACCCGAATAAATCCAATCGAAGCAGTTTTCTAGCCATTATACGAATTTAAAGTCACTAAATGAAATAATGCAAAGGGACTTTTTGATTAATATATATACAATACCACAATACAAGGCTCAAGGAAAGGCAAGGAAACACTCCAGAACAAAACATCTCAATCATAATCATCAGAAAAAAATCAGAATCAAAACTTTCTTATTGCGAATGTTCCAGTGAGTTCCTAATTTAAGCTTTTTTATTACGTTCCTGAATCAGTTTCAAATTAATTTTCGCCCATGTCCACTTTTGACTCCACCGTTTCGAATCACAGGGATTCATGAAAATTTCTCCTCGCTCCACATCGCAATCCATGCACAAATCACTAACCGGATGATACATCTGCTGCTTGTCAGGTAGATATTTAAAATGTTGATTACCTTGCATGCCATGGCTGAGATGAAGAAATTTTAGATTTAATTGGAAAATTCCGGGTTTCTTATTCCTGCCCTGTTCCACCTCACCTATATCATCTTTTCCTAAAAAAAAAAAGAAAAAAAGGAAATAAAATGTTAGGAAGAAATCCTCTATAACTTTGATTTCAAGAAAGGTCCACAAACCAGAAGATGATTTTTGTACTCTTGGAGCTGAAAACTCATAAGAAATTCATTTTAAATCATACCAAGAAAATAAAACAATGGGCGCCCTGTTTCCAGAAACTGAAACATCGAAACACATTGTTCGCGTATGGAGTCGTACATCGCGCCAAAACGTGAGTCGAAGATTCTTGAAAATTTAACAAGTTTTCAATATTTTGAAATGTAGAAAAAGAAGTGAAGAAAGTTTTGGATGAAGGAAGTATTACTTACTTGCTCCCCATCATTCGCCGGGCCATCACTGACACACTTACGTAAACCAAACTTTTCTTCAGCATTTTTGAAGTGCGTATCCACACATTTATTTGCTGCAACATTGCGCAGCTCACCTACATAATTAGATATGTAAGTCTTTAAGAGATTTTAGACCTAATAAATGATCTGTTCAAATAGCAATAGCGAAAATATAAATATTACTTAACCTTCGGCACTATCTTCGGGCTCTATTGCAGGATAAAACTTTTCCTGATCGAAAGCAATCTCTTTCATGAACCAGTCAAACGATTTACATTTAAGCCTCTTTCTAACTGCTTTCTGCTTACTGAGGTCACCTAAAAACATTTTCGCTATTGTCAATTCAAGTTTGATTTCAGCAATTGATTTCTATCACTAAACAAGCCCGACAGTTTCAGACTGACCTATATTGCACTACAAAAACCATACCAAAGTCAACAGTAAGCAATGGTGGTCTGCGTTTGTACAAAAACTTTGCATATTCATCCATCCATACTTCAGCAACTCTGAAGATTCTTTTTTATTTGATGAATAAATTCAAAATTTCATTGCTTCACTATTGCTACCATCTTGGTAAAAGTATAGTGATATACCTTCTATAATTTTTCGAAATGAAATCCCCGATACCTGGATCTGGAAAAGGAACATATTTACAACGATAAATGTGTCCAACTCGTGAACATGGAGCATCAACCATTGTACCATGACATTGCCACACCTAACAATATACTAAGCACGGATTGACATGTTAAGCTCTGAAGAACATGTAAACAAAAATGTTAAGCAAAAATCTCGAAGAAACGACCAAACAGATTTTTAGTATTTCAGTTCATTTCGAATTAGTTGAAACGGTAATACTATTACCCCCCAACATTCAAATAGCGGTTTTTAAGTATTGGAAAGGAAGACATCATTGTTTCTAAAAAACAGTATAATATCCTGTACTTTGATCAACAGTGAAATGAATAGAATAATCTAGGCGACATATGAGAGAAATGAAAATTTCAAAAGAAAATTGAAGTTTACGTTCTAAAAAAGGATCAAGACTTACCTTGAAAGATAGTTCGTATTGTTCACCACCCCATATTTCAAGACCCTCATCATAACCTCCCAATTCCCAAAACCATTTCCTACTGATTGCAAAATATCCACCAGCCATAACTGGATTATGAAAGGGACGTGTTGGATTTTTCTTATTATCTTCTGTTAAGGGCAAACGCTTGTAATTGAATTCCCAATCGAAAGAACCTGAAAAGTTAGAAATCCTAACCTTTTAATCTTTTTGAAAGTTAGAAAAAAGTTCCAAACCTCTGCCACCTTCATCCTGTGCACGGTATTCGTAAGTATCACAGTCAATAACATCGATGAGAGGACAAACTACTGTTCTGAAAGGAACATATTTATCTGCGAACGCCAAACAAAATTTTCCAAGCAGGAATGTGAGATCGATTTTCAATGAAGTTTTAGCTCTAGTGAATTTACAAAATCAAATTTCGCTGAAGGTTACATATTACTTCGCAAACTCTTAGTCGAATCAATGACAAAATTTACCTATAATCCAGTGCAATTGGTTCAACGAGTGGTGGCAACCAGTTATAGTTTGTTTCTGAATGTGCATCCAAAAACACGATCACATCGGCTGTTACATGTCGTGCACCTATTTGACGTGCACGAATCAATCCTTCTCTTTTTCTAAATTGACCAAAAAATATTTGAAAAAATAAGAAAAAATTTGAGAGAAATCCACAAAGTATGCTGAATTAATTTACAAAAACTTACTGCGTACGAACAACTTTCACGATGTGATTAAGACCAGCCTTTTTCAGGAACTCTTCAAGCGGTTGTTTTAAGAACGGTTTTGTGCTTCCATCATCGACAAGAATAACTTCTTTCATGATATCTTTTGGAGAACGATTTATAACAGAATATATGCTTCTCAGCAACGTGGAATTGTGCTGCAAGAAAAAATAATACGTTGACTGAAAACTAACTTTGCATGTAAGTAAAGATTTAGGAAACTTTTTGTTCTTGATAACGAACATACCTCATTATGAATGGGAAATACTACTCCTACAGTGGGTAGTTTTTCGAGATAAACCATGTTCCTGCATCCAGAATGCCGTATATCTTTAATCGAACGATTCAAAGCAATGAAATCGCTGATATAGGCATTATAACCGTTTGAACGGTAGAGACCATCCTAAAAATGTGATAAGCTCTAAAAATAGCAAAAAGAACAAAGTGAATCATTGATCGACCAAACGATTTGTACAGTATTACAACTTTCGAAGATTTCCATACAAAAGTAGATCGAATTCTCAGGATTCTAAAACACTATATCTACTGAACCTGCACTCAATTTTTCGCATAGAACAGACCATTCTCATCTCACAACCATGAATTTCGAATAAGAACTTCGGAAGCTAACCCGTAACTTTTTGAATTCTTCAACTGCTACTACCGCCGGTTGGCCACCCTCGCCAAGACCTTGTCTTAGTGCATCACGTTTCATCGATTCATAATCATGCCAGTCCTTTTTACCAAAACTTTTATATAAAGCGAATGGATCAGTGTCGTTATCCACTAAAATCTTGTGAACAAATAAAATTGATTTTTTTTTCCCTTTATATTGTAGAATTTGAAACAAAATATCTTTACACTTTTAGAAATCCAGGAATAAAATAACAGCTGAAGTACCAAATTAACCCTTTCTAGAATATAATTTCATGGAACTGCTCTGACTTTCTCTTAAAAATTGAAACAGTCACTCAATGAGCGAAATTTTCAAATATTTCTCTTCGCCTCCAAAAAAAGGAAAAACAAACAAATCGGTATCTGCTGAGCAATGTTTCCAATAAAAACACCAGCCATCATGCCTTTGTGCCCCTTTTCACACATCGCTGACGGTTTTGGTGTAGAAAAAATTGCATATAATCCAATAAAACAAAAGGCCAGAGCAAATACCTGCAGCGTCCGTCTGCTACACCTCCTAAAGTAGCGCCATGATATCATCCCTCTTAGAATACCTGAAAAAAAATTCCAGCACTAATTTCATTGGACATACTGAAGCCGCAGCGTATACAAGGACATATAAAAAAATCGCAAATGAGATTATTTTGAAGGGATTTCGATTTTCTGAATCGGAATTTAAAATTAATAAAATTATGAGTAAGAGAATTTCATTTGAAAAAGTAGTTATATTACAACAGAAAACAGAAAGAGTTGAAACGAAACAACCATTGCTGTTTCAAAAACTGAACTTTTAAATTAAAATATACCAAATTGCTAACAAAGAAATGGGAAAAACATTCTCAACCAATTGCAGCGAAAAGGAAAATTTGGGTCTAAAAAAATGATCGAAGCATAATCTTTCAAACAAACGAAATTTTGACAAATGAATGGCACAGTGGAACAATGTGTATTCTCTGGAACTCAGCGTGATCATCGAATTCGTTCACAGAAGGAAAAAAAAGAAATTAACTATGTAACACCAGTTGAAGTAATATGAAGCATTGCCACTTTAAGTCCTGTAAGGTTCGGAATGAAAAAAAAACTTACACAACAACACTAGGACCGTTTGGACATTGGCGTAGAGCGTTACTCGATGGTGGGGATGACTGGACTTCGCCGTGCATTATTTACCTTTTAGAAAAGGTTGACGATATCAGTCGTCGAACCACTCCGTCTGAACCACCTGTTAGTTACTCTATTACTGCTATTTGAATTATCAGACTTCAGTCAGCTAAGGCTAATTTTTACTGGCTTGCTTAAAACTTTTAAGATGTATATTTCACTGTGTTTCAAGATTGTCTCAAACGCAAGGTAAAGTTCTCTCACGGTTCATATTCCCACTCAATCTGCAGAAAGCTTCAAATCAACCTTCCGAAATTTGGAAAAAGTGGTATTCTAAGCTTGAAATTTTATACTTATACATACAAATTATCATTTGTTATGACACAGGGAGACCTATGACCTAGAAGCTCATTCAAGAAATCTTGTAACCAAATCTCAGGAATCATTAACTCAATACCGGGACCTAGAGAGAAATATTCCATTTAAGCACTGAAGGCTTCTTTGAATCTTGCAACCGTCCAGCATTACTATTACTGCAAAAAAAGTCTAGACTTCCATAGAAATCAAGAGTGAAGTAGGCCAAGCTTCACTGCACGCTATTTCATCGCATCACACGCTATTAGAATTCCTCCCACCACTGCAATCTAAGGATATAAGGGCAGCTGAGGTCAAAATTTCATGTTCCGATTAAAACAGCTAACGTTATTTCAACGTTTCATCCAGATATTTACTATAACATGAAGTGAACAACACAGAGCAAAAAATTATATCATAAAGAGCAGCGCTTGTGCGATGTGCTGGTTTTACTTGCATATTTCTTTACACTTCCTTTATGCTTGTCAATGCAATTTACCTACAACTGATTGGTTTGCTATAGCATTAATTAACGCCATTTACTTATGTTAGTCTTTAATGCTAGCAAATACAGTACACGACCAAATACTTCCAAGTGCACATTATCACTCGGTTTCTCCATTAACCAACAAACATCGATATACATTGGCTTCATTCTGCATTTCTTCCTTATTCCGAAATTTGTTTTTTCCAGCTTTGTCATGCTCAGTTAATTCACGATAAACATTATCTGGATCGCCGCCAACATCACCTTTCTTGCGTGGAAGTATGTGTACGTGTACGTGCTACAAGAGACGCTCGTTATTACTTTCTCACTTAATTAGCCGTGCTTATTTGCTGCATTTTATTAATAAATAAAATGAAATGAACTTTCTGACTGTCGAATTATGGAACGCAAAATTATTTGTGTAAACTTTCAGCTTGAAATTTATAACCGAACAGATAAATGAGTCAGCAGCAAGCAAAAAGTCTCGTTTCTAACTTATGAGAATCCTGAATGGCTTCCAAGAACATAAAGTCAAGCATTTATACTTACTGAAACAGTTTGCCCTGCTTCAGGACCATCCTGAACGCAAACAGTCGAAGATGTAGCTTTATAGCAGCCTTCCAGCATTGCCTGTATTTTCTTTGCAGTTATGAATAAATCGGAAGTTTCGGTCAAACTTAATTCAGTGAGTCGTTTCGCATTCCTGATCGGACAGACTAGCACATCTGAAAGGAACCGGCAATTCAAATGTATTTCTGTCGAAGGAAAATTTTATATGATGGAACAAACATTAAACTTTTTACAATATGAAATAATGCTAGGCCTTGACTGTCATGTATATGCAATTTGGTATTGCGATTTTCGGAATTCTGTTCAGGAACTCGAAACTTGGTAAAATATAATGAAATAAAATGCACGGAGTAAACTATATAGAATATTTTCGATCAACTTATCACTTAAAAGTACTAACGTCCAGGGAGTACAGGGCTTCGATTTACGAAACAGAATGTGTACGTACTGCGATAAAAAACGTGTTCGGACGGAATACTGTGATTACCGAACGTATACACATCATTCCCTGCAATTGGATTACAACATAAGAATTGAAAAGCTTCGAATTCAAGTACAGAACTAAGTGTACAGTCAAAAATCCAGAAAAACCAACACTGACCGATTTCGTTCCTCTGCACCGCTATCAGTGAATACAACTCAGAACGCCGATGTTCGAAAACAGGCTGCAATTTTCGTACTTCGTCCAGATAACTTAATGATATTTCAGCAAAACACATATCTTGAAAATACTTTCAACTTAGAATGAATAGAATTCAAAAGCTTAAGTTTATATAAAAGAAAAGATAACAAGCCTACTACCAACCCCTCTCATTTTCTTGAATCTGTTAGGGATTTTCAATACCTGTCCACACAAAGAAAAAGCATTAAATACAACAGATTTCACGTTATACCTATAGTTTCTGAACACTGAGCAATAACTGCTCCCCAAGGATCAACAACCATTGCATGACCATATGATGACCTTTTATCGTTATGTTTACCAGTCTGAGCTGCAGCGACAACGTAACACTGTGTTTCGATTGCTCTCGCCCTTAATAAGGTCTAAAAAAATTAAATAAAAATGAACTCTAAATCTAGAGAAAAACAAAACTTGAAATTTCCTAAAAAATTCATTTGAATATTGCTGGAAACGCCTGGCTTATCTATTCCTTTGAATTCAAAGACCACAAAAATTGAACACTTTTTTGTTCGAAAATCACCAAACGCATACTTCCCAGTGGGCGAGGCCAGTGTTAACAGTGAAAGCCGCCGGGTATGTCAAAATATGGGCTCCATTCATACGATACCATAATGCCAATTCAGCAAAGCGCAAGTCATAACAAATGGACATAGCAACATTTCCCACAGGTGTACAAATTGGTTTCGGAATCTGAAATCTTTCACAAAGTTTATTTGAAAAACCTAGAACAGAGGAGATGCAAAACTCCCAATTTCAAGAAAATAAAACCAACTTCATTCCCATGACTTGAAAATTCGCTTTCTACTAATCGCATTTTCCCAGGGATATCTAAATCGAATAGATGAAGTTTTCTGTAGACACCACGAGTTTCTCCTCTGTCATCTATGATAAGATGAGTATTGAAGGGTTTCCGCAATCCACTAGAATCCTAAAAAAAAATCAAAATCGACTGGAAATTGATAAAAAAAAAGGAAGCACCAGCAAATCCAGACACCAGTCAAATTTAGACCTAAAGTACTTTCAGAACCTTTTGGTGAAATCCACCCAAACTAAGCCAGAGTCCATATTCTCTGGCACAGTTTCGATACCGACCAATATAATCGTCACTTTCAGTTAAAGCCAATGCTTCATTCTCGTCACGGTTTTGTCCAACGTAATCGAAACACTCCGGGAAGAAAACCATCTAAATTTGGAAACCTCACTTTTAAGTCGAAAAAGTATCGATTTTTGAGTGCTTCAAAAATTAGCTTTTTAGGACTGCAGAGCCCTAATTACCACCACATCACAAATACTCATAACGCTCAATAAATATGCAGTTCGCATGAAATAATTTACTTGAATCGCTTTATGGATAGCTCTTTCGCTGAATGTCTCATTCATCACTTTGGGCAAATAACATTTCCCTAACAATCTTCCCAAATTTATTTTGGGAATGACGTTAGACCTTAGACCTTATCACTGTGTCAAAATCAACGGTGAAAACAAGTAAAGAGATGGGGAAAGCATGAATACCTAGACTTTGAATAGATATGATAAAACCAATGTTAAGGCCTGAACCTTTGCTCTGCGTTCTTTAGCACGCCTCATCATCCATTTTGCAACTTCGAAATTAGCTTCCAAATCATTCGTTGATGTTAACTGACAAACAGCGATCAGGTAACGTGTTTCGGTCATTAATAAGGAAAAGTGACGACGGATAGTGCTATTTAGTAAATAAGCGCGCATTCGAATGAGACTTGCATAAACTGCACTGAGCAACAGCTATTTGTTGTGAGTATTCATGAATTATTCGACATGCATTTCCTAAAAGTTATAAAATCCATCTTATTTTTTGGTTCGATTTGATAAAAGACTGGTGTAATAAGCATAGGAAGAGAAAATGGTAAGAGTAACACTCCCCAACATATCACGCTCCATCCATCTCTTGCCAAATCAGCGTCGAACCCACCTGTCACCTCATCCATTCTCCTTGCAGAGAGAATTATCCCGTTAAAGAAATCAATACCATATTCCATCATATGCTCAATCAGTTAGCTGCAATTCGACTATAGCTACGTGGAAATGAGAATACGGGGATGAGAATACCGTTAAAATTTGACGAAACAGAGATAGCGATACTTAACGAACACAGAGAAATGGAAGTGAAATCAATTGTAGAGAGTGTTAGATGAGGAGAGAGAGGGAGAGTTTGTAAGGCCCATGAAAGAGTAACGAAATGAAATGATGTTATCTGTTCAGTAAATACAGAGTGTGAAATAAACGAATTCCTATTGCGTGTAAAGCGCGGGTACCATTGCGTGAGCAAGGAGCAGAGGAGGGGATGGTAATAAGTCCTTATTTAGAACTTTACGCAAATGCTATCGACATGTGAAGTGGGCTCTGTTAAACGACGCAGGAAACATTTTTGGGACATCTGAGAAGACGTTGCGTTAATGTCAGTCCTCCGAAACATCCGTTTTTGAATCCATCGCGGAAGATCAACTGGATGAAATGGTTCATTGAATTAGTGCGAAATTCGGTGCTTTTGATTCCGTAGTATAAAATATGCTAGGAAAATGATATCCGGTATTTATAAGTCTGAGAGACGCAGAGGTTCAGGAAATACAGTGTTACGTCGAATGAGTTTTCCTTAGCATAACTTATTCGGAGTAACACTATGTTTGACTGTCTTCCAAATGATTTAACACAGAACTTACAAAATTACATATACATCCTGTTTACAGGTATTTAGAGGGACCTCAACAAGGCAGTAATCAAGTAAGATACGAAATGATTCGAGGATTTGTTATATTGGTGTCCTTCGTAATTGGAACCGAGGGTACGTTTTTCACGAAGATTCAAACGAACAAATAAAATAGTTGTTTTAATTTTATGCTACTTTATAAAAGTCATTATGTAACATCTTAGCATATCTTCCAAAAGTTACTCCTCTGTTTAATATAGTTAATAGTCCAAAGCCTGTTGTATTTGTTGCATGCAGTAGATTTTAAACTTTAATCGTCACATGGAATTTTTTTTAGCCGTCACGTGTGAATCACCCAATCATTCCGCGGTAACATTCTCAACCACTGATGCCTTTTTTCATTTTAGCACAACTTACATTATTGAATTTAACCTACAGTGCGCCAATAATGTCAAGGTTAGCTTTTGCTTTTTTTTTTTTTTGATTTTCTTCAGACAAACGTGAAAACATTAAAGCTATAGGAGCAATTGCTCCATAATAAAAATTATATAGTTTCTCAGTGATCCCTACTGTAGGATATGGCTGTCTATGGTATCGTCAATGGAAAAGTACATCAGGCTGCTGTCTCCGAAGAAACGTCAAAACATCAGATATCTTGGCAATTGGAGCACGATGAGTCGACTGCTCAAACATTCGATGTCGTTATTTACGACGAAGATGGTTTGACTGCATATCGCAAGGTACTTGGTTTGCCTGCCTACAGATTTCAGAATCTTTGGTTATTTGGATTGAGTTAGCTGGTAGAAGTACCTTTTTGAATTGTTTTTGGGGTCCGTCAGTGATAATTGCAAGTTTGACTAAGTTATTTCAGATGTTAGACATACTTTAAACCGGAACGACTGAAAATTTGTACTAGTACACTTAGAAAACTTGTATTAATTCACTTGGCATAAAAGCTATCGTTTTCTCAAAAACGAATTTTTTAGAAAGTAAAAGTGTGAAACCACTGGGAGCAGCTACTGAAAAATATTTGAGAAAGTTATGAATTTTAGTGCATAGGAAGCTTAAACCATCGACAGAATTAGGCATGCATTTCATATTTTTTTCTAGGCGGAAAGGAGCCATGATGATACCTCCAAAGTGAAATCACTCTTCACAGTGCAATTAAAACATCCTGTATGTTTCAGCTTTTTCATTAAAAATCAATTTCAGTCTTTTCACTTGTTGTGAGGCCTTCCCGTTAATCAGTTTTTCAATGTTAATATCATTAGTTTCAAAAAGCTTTTCATGAAGTCTATGGAAAAAATTTTTGTCGGAGAATACGAAGGAGATCGTTCGGGGCTTCAGGTGAATGTTTCATTGTTAACTAGATATACAATATAAAGTCGAATAATACATTCGTTCCAGGGTGTCTCGAAATCATCTCCGGTTGCATCAGAAACCGTTGTTACGGCTTTCGCTCTGATTGCTTTATATGTTGGTTATCACTTTAAGAGTCAGCTGATGGCTTAAAGTATAAGTATTAAATATTCTAAATGTTCTAGTATAAGTATTAAATGTTAAATGTTTTTACGGATAATCGTAATGATAAAACCACGTTTCTGTGACTTTTTGTCACTTTATGGGACCAGGCGATGTTTACCCATATGTTTTAATAATTTTATGTATCTCCAAAGAACTTTTGAGATTTCAAATTTTAAACATTGACCGAAGTGTTCTCTGTGACTCTTTGTCATCTTGGAGTATATGAAATAGAGTTTAACTTAAAAGTCACTTTGGGGTTTTGTTCCTTCTTTGTCTTTTACATTTATTGTTATAGTTTGCATTGTTTATTTTCCTGTCAAGAAAACTTGCTGTTCTATTTATAATTCAGTAATAAAAGCATGGTTAAAACCATCCCTTCTATGCAAATTTTCGCATTTTGCAGCGTGACAAGTTCATAAATCTTGAGACTATGGGAATTGATCGTGTTGCAGTAATGCACAGTACATCAACTTGGTTCATTGATTTTCAGGATGTTAACTTCATTGGGGATGCGGTCGCGTGTGGCCAGTTTAGAAAGCAAATATTTATTAAGGTTTCTGAAATTATCAGCTGAACCAAACAGGCTATCTAATTATCCGTACGGGAAAACTGTGAATCCATTCAGTCTGCAGTTCGCTACTTCAGCACAGATATCCATATCGAATTTTTCTCTTCCATGTGCAAATGCTCTATACGAAGCAAAGCGGCTTTTTCATGCTACTGAAACAGTATGTATTTGAGTCACAGAAGGGTTTGGAGATCTTTTCCATAAAAGAAAAATTGTTGAAGAAAAATTGTTTTCAAGGAGTGGGAGCTAGTGGAAATCCAGTTGTTTTCTGCATATTTTACGAATTACTTGCAAATCCTGATTTCCAAGGTCGAGGTTTCCTATTATAAGGATGGTTATGATGCATTTGCTAAGGATCCTGACCCTGAAATTCTCGGTTAGGTAGAAGTTTACTGATTTCTGCTGTAATATGCATATATATATATATATATATATATATATATATATATATATA